CTACTCAGAAATTTCAGTTTCCAGAATGAATGGTACATTGTCAGCGAGGGAGCTGAGGAAATCCGACCAAGGGTACATTCTAGCACCAGGATGCAGTGACTTCTGTGTTTATTTTCTTGAAAATACTAAGTAATCAACAGTTTCCCTCAGATACATTCCTTTCATTCACTCAGGTAATATTTAATTTACTGTTATAAGAAATACTTAATGAGTCTTGGTTAGGACTCATTGTTGTAGTGCCTTATAGGACCCACACTACTGGCCACTTGTGGTTCTTCATTTTGGGATACCTAAAAAAGCTTCAGAGGGAATTATCTGTTTCTTTCTGCATACAGACTTTCTATTCCCATTCCAGCTGTTCTCAGCTAGTTCCTGATACATCTTTTTCTAACAAACAGGCTCCACATGAAAAATTGTACCAAAACCAAGATTCCTATGGTCTTTGACAGATTCTCTGTACAAGAGACAGACCAACGGGGATTGTTGAATTATTCTGATAAATGGTTCTACATTGTGTTTGACCTTTGTTGGAGGTTCTTGGGCTCCCAGGTACCTTGTTTGCAGTGGTGTAACTGATAACTCAAGCAGTTAAGGATTTCTTCATGACTACTAACACATAACACTTCCCTCTAAGAGAGCAAAGGAGAAGAGTTTGTCATGTCCCAACTCAGAGATGGCAAAAGGGAATTTCTCACCTACACTAATCCCTCCACATTATTTCAGATTACACTTCCTATCAGTTTCAGAGAAGACACCAGGCTGCCACTGAAGCAGATGAAAAGTGTTCCTTTTTAATCACTGGGCATTTTAAATGTCTTAACCTCTTAAATGATGCCCATCTTCCATTTTTTCCCCAAATAATTGTGCTACTAATACCTGAGACTTTTACAGAGGTGGTCTGTACATCATATTGCTATGGTTAAATTGAAGGAAAACTCTTCACTTTCTTGCTTTTCTTAGCAATTTCTTTCTATTTCTTAAGTCTTGCATTTCTTTTAGCCTATGTATAAATAGATGCTTAAAACATTCTAAGACTGTTTCAACATTCTAAGACTGACTCACACATTCAATTTGATTTCTAAGAGAGTTAGTAATTTCCTTACTATCATTGCTGTGAAGCAGAAAAGATTGAAAAGGTTTTAAATATACTGACTTTCCCCCCTTTGTTGTTTGTTTTTTTTTTTTCCTAAATTTAAAGGAAACCACGCTTCTTTTCAGACAAACCCATTCCTGTGAACTAATCATTCTGGACAATAGTGAACAATTGCAAATTATGACCAAATTCTAAATCAAACATTCCCAGAAGCTAGGAGAAATATTTATTTACTTATAGTTTTAAAGTTGTTCAGATGACACAGAGATATAGTGCAAACAAAAAACTAAAAAGTATTTGCTTTGAGAGTTACAGGTATCCAGCAGGAACTATGTTAACTGGAGCAAGGAGTAGGACTGGAATGATGCCTTTAATGACATTTCTTCATGACAAGGTGATAAAAAGATTAATGCTTAACATCAACCTCAAAGCCCTTTACCAACATGAATTAGGCTTCCCAAGTACAGCACTAATCTGTTTAAAAAGGGTGAACTCAGGAACAGGAAGGACCTGTCCAACGTCCGGTTAGGCTGAAGCCCAGGTGAAGCTGCTGATAGCAGCCTGAGACACAGAGTGCAGTGTGAGCTGACCTGAACTCAGCAAGGGAAAAGGCACCTCTGATTTCCCCTAACAGCTCTGGTTTTCTCTGCACATTCACACAACACAAGAGGAAGCTTAGCTCCAAGACTGTCCTTCAAAGAGATCTGTGGTTTGACCAAAATTTGAGAAACATCCCTCCCTCACCATCTCATTTGAAGATCTGTTCAGAAACTCTCTAAGAGGCTTGCAAGACTTGTTTTCACCAAAACCTAGTGTGCTGAGTGAGCCTATCTCACTCCAAAGCACTTTGGCAGCTGTAAGAACGACAATTATCTAACAGACAGCGGTTACCAGGTTACCAACACCACTTTCACAGGAAAGCCTTGAAGCTGATAAACTGTGATAAGCAAATTCAAGTGAACTGCACGGTGGAGAAGTAGCAAAGCAAAGCTGCTCACATCTTGTTCCCAAGAACTCTGGAATTAGCTATGCCCCTCTCACATCAGCAACTGGGTTTGCATAGGATAATATGGTGGTGGAGAAGGAGTAAGAGTTAAACACAGGTGTGGCTATGGACAGTTGTAGTTGATATTCCTACAGGTGATGAGCTTTCTGCAGTATCAGTTAAGCAACTGATATCCTAAACAGAGGTCATGATCTCATATAAAATACTATAAAATGATGTTTCTTCTCTCTTGTCCCTCAAATTAGCTATTAGAGCGAGACTACTTTCCTCCTTTGCAGACCCCATCTCTCGCTGCAGACTAGAAATTCTTTTTCCTAAGACATTATGGTTATGTGCCTCTCTCCTTCTTCAGAAACTCCTTTTTCTATCTCTGGTAGCTCTGGCTGCTGAGGCAGAAACAGCTCTGAGCACCACTGTAGTGGTAACCCAGTCTGGCTCTCTTCCTTCTCAATGCACTTTCAAGCAGCTGCCTAAAACTGCTTCAAATAAATGACCCCTAAATGAGGACAAATTTACACAAAGATGTCTTCAGTCAATTAACCAAAAGACAAAATTTGTTTCTGTAATAAAGTAACAGCTTGTTTTCCCATCCGGTATCATGATGTTTATTCCATGCTAAAGCTGAGAAAAATGTTGTGGAACTAAGAAACAGGGACCAAGAATTCATCTGTCCTTAGCAGTCATCCAAACAGGCCAAAGAAGAAAATTAAACTGTGGCCTATGTGAAATATAAACCTTCATTTGGGGACAAGACAGTGAGAATGGAATGCTGAGATCAGTATTATCCACTCAACAAGCACAACATTTCTCAACTTTGTAGAGTTGAGTGTCTGAGGACACGCAACTTTCAACTTATTTCAGAAAATCCCCAGTCTGAATAATAAGGCACTTAATAACCAAACACTTCACCTTATAAAATCCATTCTCTGATGGCATCAAAAATCAGTAATAATTTTGAACTGGCATCAAAAATCAGTAATAATTTTAAGACATTTGCAGATAAGATGATGGCAAAATCCTTCAGCTAAAAGCAGACATGTTGTCATCTTATTCCAGGGGTTCCACACTATTGTCTCCTTACCACAACAGTTCCATACCTTCTGAGCGTTTTCTCATGGGCAGCTCCTCACAGCACTGACTCTTTCTCCTTCCCACAGCAGCCACTGACTCCAGGTCCCTTCTCACCCAGCCACCCCACTCTTTTCTAGCACTCTGCTTCTCATTGCTTACAGCTGTGGCCTGGTAAAGTCAGGCCTGTAACTGATCTTTGCTAATTGACCCAGCTGCAGCTCCTTAGGGGTGAGATTACTTTCTACACTAGCTTTATTTTCTTATATTCTATCCCCCTACACAGACACACAGCTGAGCACCACTGAACCAGACTGACTTACTCCCCCCATCAGCTCAACTACCTTAACTGTGTGTGAACATTTGTCTGAAACCTTTCTTCCAGTTTTTCTACTGGAAATTTGCAACTCCAGGTGCTGCAACTCCCTCTGCTTCTCCTTATTTGAGAGACTAAATGTATGAGTTTAAAATTCAATTGAATTTTCAGGGAACACACTCATATAAACAGCCATCTCTCATTGCCAGTTGTATGCAGCACATATTCAAGATCACCAGAAAGTACCAAGACAGCTTTTGTTTTCACAAAAAACTCCAACACAGCAAAATAGAAATGCTATTTCTTCTGCCCCAACAGCTGCATCCGTGAAGTCACAAAGAACTCCCTCCTTGATATGGAAATAAAGGTTAAGTGTCAAAGAACAAAGAGGTATCTCCAAATGCTGTATCTTTATTTAGCCAAGAGTTACTTTGACAAAGACATATGTATTGACAGAGTTTCACTTATTTTTATAACTATGCTGAAATGATCTTGCTGATAAAGATGTGGATTTACCCACTATAGGACTGTTCAAGCTGCTATTCTTAGATGTTTCTGGGGAAAAGAGTGGACTAATGCAGCAGTGCATTTCTGTCCAGGTGATTTTCAACCCAGTCAGCTTGAGAAGAGGTTTGGAGGCTGCGCTTTCATTCCCTCTCTGGTCATTGTTAACTCAGGTCAAGAGGCTCAATCTGACTCTAGAGAGGTTTAGAGTCTAGAAAGGTTTAGTAGAGACACAGGAAAAATGACAAAAGGCTGCAAGAGTTCTGAAGCATCAGGATACAGAATCACAAAGCAGTTTCAAACATGAAGGAAGGGACCTTCCTGGCCACAAATTGGCATCCTTAAAGCAATGTTACTGGCAAAATTCAGGAGGTTTGGCTGCCAGGAGCAGATTCTACGTCATTTTCCACACCATGATTTAATATCTGCATCTTAGGAGACAACACTGTGATTTACTCTATCTCTGATACCTAGCTTGCTTATCTGATGTACAATGTAATTGAATTTCTTCCAAAGAAAGCTCTTGGAGCAATGACTATTTTGAGAAATAACATTTCCCAAGGAATGTATATTGACCATGATGAATTCCTATAGATGTAGAAGCTAATTAACAAGAACCTAACTAATAACTTGGTTGGATTTAATCCATATACTGAACTGGCAACATGCACCAGAGGAGGCAGAGGGTGAAAGCATGTCTTTGGGGAAGAAATCACACATGACAGGCACTTTCAAAGTGGTTCACAGATATTTCAAATGTTGCCTAAGCTCTCTTAACCCTTGGTCTCATCCACTTTCCATCACCCTTCCAGGCCTGTTTCTGCTCCTCCTCCTGCTGTGTCTTTGCTGCATACTCAGGGCAAATTACCCTGACTTAAAGATGAAAATGCCTAACAGTCACATATGCACAACATTCTTCTAAATAAAAGCAAGGTTCTGCAAATGTTGTCTTTCATTGCTCATGGATGTCCTTGTGCATCAAATGCATGCAGCAGCACATGAAAGGGAAGAAGTTCTCTTAGTAACACCATTTTTATTGCCAAGTTCCATTTACAAAGAAAGGTCTGTTCCTTGTTCTTGTCCAGGTTTTCAATAGCCACGACAAATTCTCAATGCCAGCAAATACAGACTCAGAAGTCTGGATTTCAGAAACATACACCAATATTTTCTAATTCCACTCCCTTCCCAGATGCTTAGTTACATTGTTCTTTAAATTAACATAAGATATCACATTTACTCCAAGTGTCTAACATAACTTACATTAAATAATTAATACTTATTGCCTGTAGAAAGACATTTCAGAATTAAATCACACCATGTTTGGGCTTTTTTCCATGTAAATGTAAGTGCAGGTTCAGGACATTTTTTTCCTCAAATGAACTACATTTCAGACAACTTCACTGAAATACATTTCATAGGAGGACAGTCCATGTTCATAAAATGCTTTTTGTAGTGCTTAAATCCCAGGTACATTCATTCTTCTAGAAAAATACATTTCTACCTCTTTGCACTGAAAACAATCAAACTTACAAAGCAGCTAAAAATGAAGGAAAAAGTTTGCAACAAAAATATCAACACAGCTATTTACAAGTGGAGATGCCAAAAATGATCTTCTAAAGGTTGTAATGCTTCCAGAATGTTTCCTGAAGTTGTGACAATGTATAGTTAGTGCTGTCCCTGGGCAAAACAAAGCTCCTAGACATAATAATCTATAAATTTCACACTTGAATGTATTCTCAATCTTTAAAAAAATTATCTTCATGTTCATTGTAAGTACTTTTGCCACAGTTAGTCCTTAAATAAAGCCAAACACTAACCCTCAGATCACCTACAGACTATAAGATTGCAATTAGCATGTGTTTTAAACTCACTTTAGTATGAGTATCCATATCCAAAAGTAATGGGAAACAAGATCAAAAAAATCTAATGAATCTTCAGATTATGATCTTAAAAGAATCCTGTGAACTAGTCTGGACCTTAACTTTTGTTATCAAGTGTTCTTAGTCATTACCTGCTTAAGCCATTTTTGGTTACTTTTAAAATAAATGCACTCCACACATTTATTTATGCTAACAAGACAGCCCCAACAATGACAAGTTTTTCCTTTTCATATTAAGAACCAATCAATTCAAGTTAACAAAACAATAAACCAGATACCACCACAGTGCACATTTATTAGACAACCAAAATTTAGCTTTACATTTATAATACATTAACAAACACAAAATATATATTTTATAACACCTTGCAAAAGAAATCAAAACTGAGCAACGTGCAAATCTAAAAATGCTGGGAGATCAAAATAGGGAAAATTCTGTACAAATGTAATATAAAAATATGTTTCCATATGAAAGAACCCTCTGTTTGAGACTCAGTCAAGAACTGCATCTCCTATGTCTTTGTTGCTGCTCAAGTATTGAGCAGCAGAAAAACCCCCAAGAACGACTCCCCTCCCAACCCCTAAAAACATCCCACCCTAGCAAGCCCTGCTTGGATCACCCTCTGCTTTTCAGAATCCAACAGGAGATGGCAAGAGTTATTCTATTTGTTTCTAATTCATGCTGCAAATGCTGGGGAAGGTCAAGAGAAACACAGCAGGCAAGCACAGGAGAACTTCTCCAAAGATTGCTAGATAATAGAAGAGCAGTGCCCAGGTGAGTGATATGTTAAGGTAGGTCAGTGTGGTGAACCAGGGACACACCAAAAAACTCTTTCAAGAAGGACAGTAGCAGTTAAGAAGAGACTTTTCAACATGTATTTAGATGGCTACGTGAGGCTGTCTGAAAGGAGGAGAACAGTTACCTTGGAGGCAAAAGGCCTTGATCTCCTGCCCCCAGCTGTGTCTCTGCAGATCTCTGATCCAACTTCAGGACTAAACCATTTCTTTTCCCAGGCAGCAGCTGCTTGCCTGGGCAATGCTCTTTTAAAAGCAAGTTTCACTTCAGCTGGTTAGTGGAGACAAGGGCAGAATGTTTACTTTGGTGTGGGTTTTCTGACCACTACTGCCTGGTGGTCAGTGCCCCTGCTCCTAAGGCTGTTCTGCAGCTCCCTGTCTCCTGCAGGAGTGACAGCAGCACCCCAGAGTGACTGACAGCAGCACCCCAGAGTGACTGACAGCAGCACCCCCAGAGTGACTGACAGCACCCCAGAGTGACTGACAGCACAGCAGGGAAATGTTTACTCAGGAAGTGGCTTCATCCTTACACACACAGTTTCACCTGCTTGTCTGATAGCTTACCTCCATCTTCAAGCATAAAGTTGATTTTACTGCTAGTGAAATGACACAATTCCAGGGCAATTACTGAATTCCTGGATTGCTTGCAGTAATCACAAATTAACAATAGACCTATTCTTCTATTTTCCTAATAACAGTATTTAAGTCATTTCCTGTGAAGCTCTCACTAGACAAGTGATCATGAGATTGAAAAGCCACTCAAAGGTAATAAAAAGTACAAAGTCACCTTTCTTTCCCTTTGCCCCATTTCTTGTGCAGTACAGCTCAGGGGTGAGATAATTCATATGCATTGAAGAGACTCCTTGTGCATGGGTCTAATCTTGCTAGAACTGAATTTAAAATGAGATAAATTAAGATCAAGGTTTTCCAGTCTAAAATTACTTCTGTTTAAGGGAACTCAGCCTGCACAGTGATATTTTCTGTAATCTAGGTCAAGAATCTAAGGTTAATAACTAACATAAAATGCTTTCTAATTAAGTGAGGCATTTTTTATAATGGTGTTCAGAATATTACTAAGACTACAGTGTAATGCTGCACCATTTTAGAGAGAGTCTAGACTTCAATCAGTTCAGCTAATAAAAATTCATGTGGTTCTTGTGCCCAGATTGTTACTGATGTGTCTAGGCCTGTTCAGGTACATGCACATTAGCTGCAACAGTGACTGCATGAATGCAAATTCATCTTCAGCACGAGACAAAAAACCCAAAAAAGCAGGCTCTTATCTAGTAATGCCAGATTTTCACACAAAATCCACTGCAGTGCTGAGGACACCTAACTCTGAATTCATTTAGAGTTTGGGCCACTCTGGAATGGTCAGAGTATCAGTTAATTCAATTTGAGACAAAGTAGAAGTCACAGAAAATTAGAAATCAAAACTGCATGAAAAAGTAAATAGGGGGAAAAATTACTGGTATTCAAGTGGCAGACACCTCACATACCCAGCTGGCAAAGATTCAATTATTATGTGAAGGAGAAGATAGAAAAAGTGAGAAAAGTGGTACCTGTGAATTAGTCAATCTCATATATGTGTATATATATATGAATATATTTCTATATATTCTCCTATATGTATATACACACATATATGTATGACAGCCAGGAAGGTACAATAAGCAACTGGGAAAGGGATAAAAACGTTGCAGATTCACCCATTTGGTAAGAACTCAATGCCAGTAGAGTGCAGTGGTGACTGAAATCAATACCAAGTAAACAGCAGCCCTCCTCTGAGGAACTGCCAACTCAGGGTTGAGAACAGACCAGCAATGACAAGCTACTCAATTTACTATTAACTTAAATTAACTTACTTGGAAACTGATGAAAAATCTGAAATTCCTTTCATGTTAAATTTTGTATCAAATCAGCAAAGAACATTCCAAGCTTTAAGAAACATCTTTCCCTTTTCTGTCAGCTTAGTGTCAGGATCTAGGAAGTAATGTTAACTCAGAATCACTTTTATGTATGTTTAATGTTGTTTAACTGAGATACCATCCCAGACAGGAAAAAAAATGAACAATACCTTTCGAGATCAGACTTGCAAAGGAATTATCAGTTAGATATGGTGACCTTCTTCCTACATGACTATGAAAAATCTGAAAAACCTCTTTAGAGTAAAACTGCTTCTGTCTGCTTCTTGAAGTTGTCTTTCAGTTGCAGGGATATCACCATTCCTCAGATTGTAGCAATTTGACTGTCAGAAGTGAACAAACAAGCTATAGCAATCTTGTAAAATATTTTACATTCCTCTCTAGGCGTCTAAGCAAAGACTAAAGTAGTCTCAAAAATCCCTTGTGTTAATTTGAACAAGCATTGTGTTTTAACTTTGAATCAAACCTTGAAATAAATAAATATGGAAAACATAGTATTTAAGTCTGGAGTCCTACAAAGACAATACTGAATGTGGCCAAGCCTGCTGGTATTGTGCAGACCTCCAAAAGATGAACAAGGTTAGGATTAAAAAAAGAACAACCAACCAACCAAAAAAAACCCAAATAAAACCCCAAAACCCCTCTTCCACAAATAAAACCCCGAACCAAACACCAAACTGAAAAAACAGACCCTGACTCAAATGGAAATTTTACCTCTGTCCTATAATATATAATTTTTTTCTGGTCAATGGCACATCTCCCGTTTCAGAGATGTAACAATGCAGAACCATGAAGCTGGGTATCCAAAAGTCTCTTCACTTTGCCATAATACTGTAGACCTTTTACAATAAATTAGTTCCTATTAGAAAGACAGTAGGTTCTCTGAAACACGTTCATGTTCTTGTATAACATAAACTGGTAGGAAAGAACCAATCCAGATTCACAAGTCTGGGTTTTTCTCTCTTCCCCAGTTCAGATATGCTGAGTATGCGATGTTGGCTCTAAAAACTGCTGACATTCTCTGTCACCACTTGGTCCCTTCATGTGGGCCTGAGGCCTCTCAGGCCTCCACAAGTATCTGCACTCCCAGAGGGAAAAAAAAATAATCACAATTTGGTTGCACTTCCTTCACTGTTTATTACAGTCTGCATGGTGGTTTTAGTCAGAACTTTCCTCCTCTACCTCTTTCACCTTGTCAACCTCAGCTTCAGGCTGCACAGAGGCCTGAGGGATGCAGCTGAAAGTTCGGATGCTGTGCGGATCCACTGGCGGCACCAGCGTGAGGGACTCCACGCTCAGCGTGTCCGTGCTGTCGTCGGTGAGTAAGGAGATGGTGGGCTGCTGGGCAGGAATCAGGCTGGGAGACAGGTTGGCTGTTTCTGTGTCACTGGGTTTTACAGCATTTCTGCTGGACTTGGAAACAGCTGCAAGAGATTCATCAGTCAACATGGTCTGACCGGAACCGGCCGTCAGAGGCTGCTCTGGAGCTGAAGCATCATCTGAGAAAAGAAAACACCAAGAACAATCAATACCCAAGGCAGTATGCACATTAACCTAACAATACACCATTATTCAAGAATAACTGGGTAGAAATACAGTTCTGTGAAGCACTACGCTTACACATCCACATTTTAGTAATTAGAAATAAACCAAAATATTATAAAGGCATAACCTAAAATGCCAGTAGGATTATGTTCTAATTAGGAACTATTTAGTATTAGAATATGTATCAATATTAGAAATATTCTTAGAGAGAGCAAGTTGAGGGAAAGAAAACCTCTCCAGTATTTAGTATGAACTAAAATGAACCCGCTACCCCTTAGCAGGAAGATCTTTAGAAATAAAAGAAAAAACTGAAGAACCACTCTACAGCCAGCTTTCCCAAAAGGTGGCCTGTTTCTTACAAAAATTTGGAAATCATTCTCTCAATTCATCCTCCAGGTTCATATTTAAGTGACACCTCAACCACAGAGAGCAGAATTATGGCAGAACAGGAAGGAGGATCATTTCCTTGCTGCAACTGAACGGTGCTGCAAGAGGCCTGCTTTACACAGCCTTGTGAGCCATGGGGGGCTTGTCCTCCTAAGCAAGGAGCATCCAACACTCACACTGGGAATAAGCATAAATGCTACAGAAAACTGATATGCTGCTGCACCTCCTACTTCATGAAAAAACCCTCCAACATTATTAGCTATTTGTGCTGTCCTCTCCCCATAAAAATCCTAGTGAACTGTCAAGCAAGCTGTTCATTTGGCTCAGGATGGAGAGGGAATGGACAGGATGAGGTGATACAGCCTTAGATGATCAAGTATGCCCAGAAAAGTCAGTTTTTTTCTTTTCAGACTACAATAATAGATGCCATTAAAGTAACAGATATCCAGCTTCAAGACAGACCAGTTTTAAAGCTTTTGTAAGAAACAGCATGTGTTCAAGTGTACAGGAATCTGCAGAAAAGCTTACAAGGCAATGTAGTGAATACAGAAATTAAGAATTAAGTTATGGTTTTAATACACAGTAACCTTAAAAAATTTTCCGTTTCATTATGATTCCAATTAGTCCTGGAAAAGAACAGAAAGCATGAACATAAGACAAAGGGAAATAAAAAAAAAAAGGAAAAGCAAAGTAGAGAATGGAATGGTGTCAGTAAGGTATCAGTGGATAACACTCAAATTACTGGGGATTTTTTTACCTTTCTGGTAAGATAACCCAAACAATGGTGTACTCTCACTCCAGAAACCACTCATGTACTTTTTGCTGAATTGGTGGCCAAAGCTCCTCGCTTTGATAAAAACCAGATTTATAGATGGTAAAAAAGTCTACTATTAAATAAAAGACATCAGTGGTTATTTTTGAACTGTAAGGACAGATTCAAAGTAACCCTACAGATTCTTCATCTGTCAAGAAGCTTTAGTGAGAATGTAGCAACTGATAACAGAGGAAGTGATGCAAGAATCACATGGAAAATGAACTGCTAAAACAATGAAATACAGGCTCATTTCTCTGAACTCCAAGCTGAACACCAACATTTCAGTATGCACAGAACAGTGAGTTCCTGCTTTCTCAACCTATACAATCTTCAAATGCTATCAAATGCTCTTTACCAAGGTAACACTTAAATCTTATTTATACTACAGCATGAATAGTCACCCAAATTCAGATTCAGAAACCTGAGGCATTCTGGTAAGTAAAGTATTATCAACCAATGGCATTCTGCTCAGAATATTGTATACAGCACATTTCTATTTAACTTCTGAATCCACACTTCAGTTCTTAAATCATTCCTTCCCCTCTTTCAACAGAATATCAATGTCTTTTCTTAATACTTCCATTTACTGAAATGATGAAAGACATGATATTCTTTTGTTATGCTGGATGTTTTGGTCCCAAAATCCTTCCAGGTAGGTTCTAAGTTAATGCTAAAGTGACTCCTTTCTTAATGCCACAAACAAAAAGTATTTGGAAAAAGTCTTCATAAAAAAAAAAGTATCTGGAGTTAACAAGTCCAAATTTTCTACACAAAAGCCTCAAAAAAAAAACATTAAAAAGAAAGACAAAAGTATCAAAAACTGTGAGCCCAGTATTTCAGTGGCAGCATTTGTAGAGAATACAAGATCAGAGCTCTCCTGTGCTTCCCTCCAGCTGTTACTGATATTGCTAGAAGCCAGTCTCTCTCCCCTCAGGATGTCTTTTGTCACTGCCAGCCTGGTTTCCATCACTGTGGCATTGAATTTCAGGGAACAGTGGCCAATTGCTGTAACCCAGAGTGGCACCACTGCCAAAATGATCAGAAAGCAAATCCCAACACACAGAAGGGTGGAGGAGAGAGAGTTCTGAACATTGTCTAGAGCTCACAAGAATGCCTGTCCTTAAGCAGGTACCAAGCTCTTGCTTCTAAAGAGTTTCACATACTCAGCATATTTACAGATTAATTTCTCTACTTATTATCTGGAATTTCCCTTGATACTATATATAAAAATACTAACTGGCTTTCAAAAACCCAAACTCCCAATATTTTGTTACAGTTTGACTTTTGGATAGAAAGAAAATTTGTAATTTTTCCCTGGATAAAACCACCAGTCACCGAGATATGCTCTGCTCTTAAATATCAAAAGGTTATCACCTAATACTAGAAAACAGCATTTCTATTTATCTTTTCCCAGCCTCAATGTATTTAGGCAAGAGTGTTCTGGCATAAAATATATGCCAAATCTGCAACAAAACCAGGGAGAGAGAAGTCAGTTTCTTAAAATGGTTTTGATCTTAATACTGAGCTGTAACAAACAGCCTTCCATACCTCCAAACTTATTGTACTTATTGAAAACAAGGTGTAATTTTGCAAGTTTCGGGGTATTATTAGCTCTCTTTGGATGCAGAGCCTTCAACAGCCTTACATGTTTTTCAGCACTTCTTTAATGCTACAAAGATTATTGTTACAACAAAAAAAACCAACTAAAACATTAAACTTGTTATATTAACTTATGCTAGAACGGTTATTGTGAAAGAAGTTTGAAAAGAACAGAAAAAGGAAAGAACAGACATCTACAGTGAAGTGTCCTAAGCTGTACAGCAACGTACTACGAAAGGATAACAAAAATACAAATTACAAGACATTAGGCAAAAAGTTGCAAATTAAATCTATAATGATGAAAAAGGGTGTTTATATAATATTAGCAGAGTAAAGTAGCTTCATGCCATGACAGGAACAAAAGAAAAGAAAATTAGATACAAGTTCAAACATTATATAACAAAGGTCATCTGGAGCGTATTTCCATATTTTTTTGCATCTGCTCCTCCTCCTTACCTCCTCAGGTAAGGACAATCAAACAGTCCATAAAGTCATCTGCTAGAATCTGATGATCACAGAAATATTAAGCTTGTGCCATCAGAGTCCAGGGACAGTTTTATGCTGAATGCCTGTCCATTTGACCTGTGCTATCAAGAGATTTCTTGCTGCTGGCCAAGGACCTGCATTACTGTCCATTCAGGAGCCTGTGTTTACTGAATTTCACTACAGCCAGGGCTGCCCTGTGCAAATGAAGACATGGCTGCTTTGAAGCTGGAGGCTTGATAGCACAATTTCCACCTTTGGCACGAGTGCCCAGAGACATGGGAGAAGCTGCAGACAAGGCTTTCAGGAACAGCTCATTATTGATTTACAGTTCTCCCAAAACAAAACGTAGAGACAAATATTATAACGCTTTCTTCAGTTTCCTACCTCACTGTCACTGCTGTCAGCATGGAAAGCAAATATGTTCTACTGATTATTATGGGCTTGTGAAGGCTTATGGAGGAACCTGCCTGAGTGGGTATTGCGGGAGTTTCTGCTGCAGCTGCTGCTGGAAGGCCTAAACCCAGTGTCCACCGTGACTGTCAGCCTCCGACAGACTAAACACCCGCCGGCGTCCTTTCCTGCCAGACCTTACTAGAGGGAAACACAGCCAGAAATCATACAGAGCCTTCAACAATGACACAGGGGAGGGAAACTGGAATGGAGACAAAGGATAAATGTTAGAGCAGCAACAAGAATAAGTGACAAGGACACACCCGTAACTGCTGGTATCTTGAATACAATTTGACACCGCACCAAGAGCCTTCTACGTTTGGGAAATACTTCTGAAGCAGGAAGTATTCATTCTTTAGAAATAAATGAGTTTATATCAATTTAATGCTTTGCTTCCTATCTGAAAATGTTTGCAAGTTTGGGCTATGTCTAGCAATACCAACATCAAGGAGGGCTGGCAGGTATTTATTTGCATTACAATCTACTCACCTGCTTTAGAAACTTTGAGAGAAGTTCTTTACCACAAACTCTGGTGACACAGAATTATTCTCCTTTCCCCTGGCCATGAATTATATGCAGTGCAGTATACTATGCACGTGACAACACTTCAGATCACTCAGCCCTACTATTCTGAAACCCAACAGTAGCATTTACATTTGGTTTATGATAAAGCCAAACACAGGGTTTGAAAAGATAACAGCAGTTCAGATGATGATGCTTGGTGCATAGAAAGTTCCTAGAAAAGAAACTTTCTAAGAACAAAAGTACTTCCTCACCTAGTCAGAAAATTACTAGAGCTTCACAGAACAGGAGGTCAAACCACATTTACATTACTGATTATAGAGGGAAGAGACAGAGATGGTTTCAATAGGAAGGCAAGCACTGCTCTTCTAAGCTTGATTAATCACCCTCTCCTTGGAATGGAAATTTATTTTCAGACTGGAATCCAATATGTTCTCTGCAACAAGGGACAGTTCTTGGTACTTATTTTAGATCTTTTATCATCAATACCTTCCAGAAGCACAAAATACAGCTTAAGTGGCACAGATCAGTGCCTTGTGAAGTCCTCATTACCTACTGCTCTGATGTAAACATTTTCTTAAGTACTGAAGCCAATTGCTTTTTAAAAGTTAAGACAGCTTAAAAAGTAATAAAATACAGCACAGATGACATTAACACATTCATAATTCTGGAAGACTGCTAACTTACAGTAAGAGAGCTTCTATATCTAATCCTTGGCATATATGACAATAAGCACTTTAAAGAAGTGTACAGTTCCAGCAGGAGTAGCCAAGACATGACTGCATTCTAAGCTCTGAAACTTGATGCTTAAAATCTGTCTAACGAGAACATTTCTACCTTACACATAGTAACATTTCAAAAGCACATGATAATTTAAAAAAAAACGAAATACAAAGAAAAAACCAACCTGATAGCAGGACTTGCAGAACCCGACACTGATTTTTCTGTCTTGCTAAGCATTCTGCTTTCTTTAAGGGATGATTTCTGCTTTTTCAATTTTAAAGAACTATAATCTTGTAAAGGGCTAAGTTTAATCCCCAAACACTGCAAATGGGGGAGCTGCCAGTCTTTTAAATATCTGTGCCATACAGCAGCTTGACAACTACTAGGTAGGATAGCCAATGAACTTGGGAGTCATAGGAGTTTATTTCACTCATGACAAAGCAACTGATGCAATGCTGTGGGATTGTTTGATGCAGGTATGAGTGATAACAAGTAAATTATTTTTACAAAACATTGAACTAACATAACTTTTCCCTGTGACACATTTTTGAAAGAGCTTTTGCTGTTTAATCATCAATTTATCCTCTATGTTGTAACATTTTCTCTTAATTAACATGCAATTTGTCTTGATTTTGTTCTCATCTATCACTGTTTTATGTAAAAATTGGTGTCTATGTTCCAAATCTCATTTTCTGAGACAACTCTGTGAAGATTTACATGTATAATCTAAAATATATTAAACCTTGACCAGTTTAAATCTGTCAACAGACTGTAACTTAGGACACTATAATCACAAGTTCACAGTACAAAAAGCTGTGTGGTTTAAGATGTTGCTTCTAAGGAAGGTAGTTGAGGTAGTTTCCTTGAAGTCCAGATAGGCATCTCCCCTTTATCTAGTCTGGCCTTGTTGTCTGAAGTTCCTGAGCAACCCAGGATGCTTTTCATGCTCAACAGCTTGAGCAGGTGCCAGAACAAACAGGGGAGTAGGGAAGGAGGGGCAGAGAGGGGCACAGACATTTGTGTGTGTTCAAAATGGAATGGGAAATGAGACAGAGTCAAATGTGACAGATGGCAGCAGCATTCAGGGGCTACCTTGGGACATAAAACAGATTTTGGTAACTGCTTGCTGCTCATCACACACTGGTTACTTCCTCCTCAAAGGAGCTACTTCACATCATGCAAGTCACTGCTGAGAAGCAGAAGAGCAAAGGCATTTTAGCTTCAACTGTCCTCAAGTGGTTAAGCTAAGGGAAAACCACTGCTTTACACAGAAGTGGGTGAATACCAACAGCTGTTTCCACATCCCAGCTGAGTGGTCAGCATGACCTGATCTAACACAGACTGTGCTCATGGCACTGTCACCTCCTTCAGCAGAGTTCTGTTCATGCACAAGCCCACAGAACAGCCACCTGCCCATGCCAAACAGAGCCCCACTTTCATGCCACATCCCTGGCAAGCTTCCACTACAGATCACAATTCCATGTAAGTACTACAAAAGGGAGAATATGCAAACTCACAGTAACCTGGTCAATCAGTTAATGCAGAGACACTGATCCCAAGAATGCCACTACTGAACAGACACTGAGATTGGCAAAAAGTGTCAAAAGGGCTCTGGGGTTGGGGAAAACCCTTCCTACATTCACACCTCCCAAAAGACCTAAACAGTTCAGAATTCTCACTAGTCTGTAATAAGGACACTCAGCCACAGGTTTTAAATCACTACTTGTGTTCCTTATTGCCTGCAACTACACTAAGCAGTTTGGTACAGACCAGGGCAGCAGCTTGGAAGAATTATGTGCACTTATTGCTTTAGTCTGATTTTAGGAACAGTTTCTGTGCATTAATGAGATTATTCTAGAAAGAAACTAAACTATTAGATATGCTGCAGCTATGCACCAAATACACTTCTAACACCAACAGCCAACATATTAGTCTGACCTGACCACTGGTCCTTGGAACAGCCACATATATGGCAGGGATTCTTGGTCCTAAAGGCCAGAGCAAATATGGTCCAGCAAAACCCCTAAGCCACATGCATGCACCTCAGTACCAACTGTGCGTTATCCCACTGCAATAAAATACCTGCTCATGCACATAAAGCCACTGCCTTCCTCTCTGTAACTGCCCTCTGAGGAGAACAAAAGTCATCCCTGCAGCAGGTCAGTGCAACTTCTGATTTGGGACTGGAGCAGCTGATGCACATTGTCAGGTTCATTTCCTCTGACTTGGCTGAAGGAGACTGGGCCCAGTGGAAGGACCCAGAACTGGACCCTCACAGCTACACCTGCTAGAGCATCACATTAAAAAAAAAAAAAAATCAAAGCACACCCAAAGACAGTTTTCCTGCATGACATGTGACATTTTGCACATACTTTATGATTAAGTCACAGTGAAGGTCAAGGTGGGCAGTTCACGCAACCTAACCGGCAAAGTGCATACTGAAATCAGGCACTCCAAAATACTTTTCCTCTGGCTTTGATCAGGGTTTTTTTTCATCATTTTTCTCTTTATTTTCAGGGGTGAGGAGGGTAGGGAATAGTTTAGTGTTGATTGTTGTTTGCTTTTCTTTTTTTTTTTTGGAAATCATTGAGCAGCCTCCTGTCATCAAGCTTTTTAAAATGCAGGAAAAACAAACAATTTTATGTTACACAAATGCCAACATACTGTGTAAGCAGACTGCAGTTTTGTTCACTACAGTCTGTGATGATACTTCAATAATTCACTATCTTTTCATTCTTGATGAGTAATTGTATGTTCTGGATCTATGCATTTTTTCACAGAAATCAGATTATGTGTGCTTGAAAGACCTCAGTCTGAAACAAAGCATAGTCCTGCTTGATATTTTTGTCAACTAGCTTGAATTGCTTATACCTACAGAAATAATATAGATTCTTTACTTTCATTTCCTTTAGCACAGTTCTCTTAGATACTCTTGGTAAGAACGTGTAGCTGCATTTCTCTTTCTGACCATAGAGGATTCAAATACAGCAGAGGACACTGTACATGAGCAATTTTACACTGCTAAGGAGAAACATGTCATCAAATTCATGTTTTCTTGTAGTGCCAATCCAGCCTGAGGATTCTGACAAATGACAGCACTTCTCTGTGCAATAACTACATTTCACCTGGGCCACGAAGAGACTGGGTAACAGCAATCACTTGCCAACAGAGGAAATAAATTTTTGAATAGGTGGTATAGAAAAAAATCCAAATGGCATTCTGAAATTACACATATTGCAGGACTATTTTGACTATGTGTTAATCTCTCAAGGTAATAGATGCTTTTTAATCTAGAGTCTGGCTGCTAGAATGCTTTAAATATTTATTGTTCCTTAACTTCATCAGCACCCTTTCATTACCCTTTCCAGCAGGGTAATTTCTTTCAGGGACACTCACTTGAAATATATTGGTCTGCTGGCACTCTTCAGTGAAACCTAAAACCACTCAATACCTAAAGAAGTTGCATCATTTCCTGTAGGACTGCAACAAATTTTAGATATAGGTGGGCCTTCCAAATAAAGGCAAAATGGCTTATCTTAGAAGGGGTAGCCAGATCAACCCTCTCAAGGAATGATCAACATTGTAAGTGACCATTAAAATGAGGGCTTGCTTGAAAAGGTCTTGAGAACCAAGTTGTTTTACAACCAAAATGAGGTAGAGTAGGTCACTTCTAGCATGAAAGCATTTCAGGATGCACCCTTGTCTAGTCTGCAGCCCCAGGCTTTGCCTCACACAATCTGCACTCAGAACAGACACTGCTACAAGATTCTCTACAAATACTACATAAAAGGGAGGAATAATGCAAAAAAAAGTTCCAGTTTAAGCATATCCACTAAATGTACTGACCAATGCAAGCACATGCAGCCTACATTTGTGAAAGTTACACTGTCAGTCTATTTATAATGCAGCCTCTTCTGCACCAATGAAACAGCCTCCTGAAACGTGGAGGTGTTCAGCCACAAGAGTGTTATTGCAAAACCTTTACAATATTAATATCCTAAATAATTATTTTCAAATATTTCATATTTGGCCCATTGTTACAAATTACCCTGAGGATCAGATAAACACACAAAAGCAAATGTCACCCAGTTCAAAAAAAAGCAATACTTCAGTTAAAACAAACCACTGACAAAAAAAAAAATCCTCAACATTCTAAACTGTTTGTGCTAGGAGAGAAGTCAGACAAGCAGGACATTATTTCACCAATACTTAAAGTCTCTACTGAAAGAAGCTAAGTATTTACAGTTCCAGAAAGCTGAAGAGAACACTGCAAATTATACTACAATTTACTTTTAATTGGCTTAGTTGATTAAGTAATCTAAAACCATAAAGGCCTACATGAACTGCTCTGCATCCCTTAGTGCCTAGGCTGAAGGTGGTGAGTGAATACCTGCTGGGCTCTGAGCAGCAGAAGGAGTGGATGTCGAGCTTGCAGTCACGGAGTCACAGCGCCCGGTACTGCCACTGCCGCTGGAAGGGGACGGTGACGAGACTGGGGATGGATTGTGCTGATTTATGCACTGGGCTACAGCAAAGCCTGCAAAACAGGACAGTGAAGTGTACAAGTTAAATAGCAATATTAAAAGAGTTAAGCTGTTGAACAAACTGGGAAAGGGTAAAAGCAAATCCTGTATCAAAGTGATGCCAACCTCAGAGGATGTGCCCTCTCCCACCCTCATCCTGGAAACCAGAGAAGTCTGAATGTACCTTACTGAAAACAGGCTACAAGTGCTGATCAATAAGTAAGTAAAGAGAGTTTAAGGGATTAAAAGCATTTTAAAACTTAGAGAATGTACAAACAGTCAAAACATATAGAAACTTTTCCATTTTTCATAGAGTAAATATATTCACGGGTCACAGACCGTACCATGATAAGGAAAACAATTAAGTCAAAAGCGAACAAAAAACCCTCTTGGACAGAAGATCTACATTTTTTGCTAGACATAACTTCAGAAAATTTTAATCAATCACATCTAATGCTGGCACTGAATTTCATCCAGCCTCTCACAAACTGAATTTTTTCCAGTCTGAAGACTGGAAAGGTCTATGCAGTGTCCGACAGCACTTCTTAGATGAGTCATTTTCTGGCTTCTAGTGTAATACTCCTTCAATCTCTTTGCAGGGTAGCATCCTTTTCTTTCCTAACCACCTTGCACTCATTCCTTTCTCCTTCCATAAGTACACACCTACAGCCACCGCTTCAGGTTCTGCTAGCAAGCAGCTTTTCAGAAGTTGATGCACTTCGTACAGCAAAAGCAGTGCCTTCACCACGGGCTGTAGGTTAGGTGAGGCACACCACGTTTCTGCTTCTGCAGCTCTCCTCTCTCTCTCCCATGGGAAAGTGCTCATGCAGAAGTTTTTTTGGCAGTCCTGTGAAGTACTGAAAGTAGCCACAATGTGGACTACAAAACACCTAAATACTCTAGTTGCTACCTTCACTGAACAGTCAACACTGAAAGGGAAAGTGTCTGACAATCAGGTAAGACTGAAAACACACCACACAGTTCTTTATCCTTTTATACAGGGAATCTCCCTTGGCAGTGAATGGATGATTCACTCAGAGAATCTCCTATATAGTGAAGGTGCCGGTGCCATAAAGGATGTAACCACTCAAAACTCAGCTTAAATGGACATGTTACAAGAAACTCTGAAAGCTTTGAAATGTACCAAGTCAGGAAAATGCTGTTAGCAGCAACACACTGACAGACTGTGCTACAAGTGAAAACAACAGTGATGAAAGCACAGAAGAAAGCTCACAAACATCTGTCCTGTTAATAATCTGACTTGATCTGTAATCCCACCTCCTACATTCTACCTCCCACGCTTACCCAAGAATTAGACTCAAAACCACTTGCAGAAACACAATGCCACCTGAATTTCTGTAGCACTGCAGCATAGCTTTAGATAGGCATCTAAATGTCATTTTTACCAAGTTAAATTATATTCATTATGTTCAAGATGAACACCACTTGAAAGAACTAAATCATTACCAAGGCAGGAGAGATCTCTTTCAGTGAAAAACAAAATATTTGGTAAGGAGCTAATTGTCCTATAAATGTAAATAAATCCATGCATTTTATTTCAGAAACCAAAGTGATTGATCTACAATCATTTAGGTAAGTTAAACTGAGTTTACACAGTGACACCTGACAGTCTGCAAAAAGTTAACCACAAACTGAACCACCTCAAATGTGAAAGACTTCCACATGTATCACTGGCCATGAGTGCTATAGTTTTTAATCACAGAAAATGTACATGAGATATTTCATACACAGTTCATAGTCTGAGATATCAGTTAGGATGGGGTAACAAGGAATAACCAACCAGTGGACTTGCGACCACAGAAGTGAGGCAAAGCCAAGTGTTAATGTGAATGAAATTAAGAACAGTTCCTAAAGCCACTGCTACAGAAGAGCTTACATCAAGCTATTTAGCTTCCCTTACAGTGCTGGTAAAAGCTGTACCTGTGGATAAAGCATTCTATATCCACAGAGTTTGCACTTCAAGGGAGAAGAAACCTTCCACCCTCAGCAGAACAGCAGAAAACAGTAAACAAGGTCTCCCATGACTGTCATAGGGAAAACTGGTCAGATTTAGCAGGATTGCCAGCCCAAAGCTTCTGCAAAACAGCACTCATGGATTCATGTCCTCACATAGGAGCATTTGCTTCAATATTTTCTCTCCCCAAACAACTGCAAAGGAAGAATTTTAAGTGCGCTAACGGAAGCTAATTTAGATAGGAAGGAAAGGTAAGCCTGAATAATTCAAAATACTGTAACTGGGAAACTACTGACCAAGGAAAAAACCTCTAATCAGGAAACTCCTATAGGAAATACCTGCAAAGAAAATGTGAGCAGAATTAATCATAGCTACAAGAAGCAAAATAACAGTTAGGAAGTTAATCTGATGATGACAGGAATGTTAGTTCATATTACACAAAGGGTTCCAAACCTATTCATGATTTTTTTTCCTTCAGACTTTAAAATGAAGATGGTTATAACTTACTTGCCATGCTAATGTTAACAAGCTTTCCTCCTACTTTTTTCCTCTCAAAACCTTATTATCATCTACTAAGATATTAACAATGGATAAAATAGTAAGAGAAATCTATTGATTTTTGAATCTTTTGCTTTTCAAAATAAATTTACTTAGTAGGTAAGCAACCACACTTGTTAAAATATTTAGATGTACCTTTTGCTGGAAATCATTAACATTTCCCTTAAGACATGTGGGGCATATAAATCTCAGAATAGAGCTGATACTTGAAACTAATTCTTGAGTTTGCTTGAAGAGGAAGTCATTATTTATTTACCTTCAATAGAAGACATCTGTTCACAGGGCCCCTACCAAATCTGCTGGTTTCTTTAAAAACAGTGTTCTTTATTTACATAGATTGCTTCAGAAGTACAATATGTTCATACATAGCTCATAGCTGAGATGGTGAAGAGTCCAGCCAGCTACACTATCCCTAAAATGCTCTAACATTCTAGCAAAGGTCAGAAACTTAAAATAGACCTTGGAGTATACTCAAAGCCATGACTTCATGGTGATAAAATTGATCAAGTGAGGGATTTTGCTTACGTTGTTCTCTACTGAGAACTGTCCAGTCCAGCAGGAGATCACAGCATGTCCCTGCCCTTCTCACTGTGCTCAGGGAGATGTTCTGAAGCGTGGTCTGTGACATTCTCATCACCCTTCACTTGTCCTGCACAAAATCCAGTTTCAAGCTATAACAATCCTCACCCTCTTTCCCGCAGACACCAAGATTTTAACTTTGCACTGTGGAACAATGAAGGACAATGAAGCCCAGTTTGACAACAATAAGGGAACACAGAAGTTAACTGCAGGCTCTCAAGTGACATATGCAGAGCTTTATGTAGGCACCATTAGAGAAACTGAACCTGACAACTGCAATGAGTGTTCTTGAAAATTCTAAATTCATTGACAATGGGAAATAGGGAACTGAATAGCTGTATCAAATTTCACAGACTGAAACTTGCAGGAGGAATGAAAACATTGATATGAGTATTAATTTCTTAAAAAAAACAAAACATGCTGGATTGTACAGCACTGACAGCCAACATGGTCCTAACAAAAGTAGTTATTAGTCTTCTAAACATGTTGCCACAAAAACAGCTCTGCTTTAAATCTACAAAGGACATCACCAAGGGAAAGCATAATTTGAGTATTAAAAGTACAACCAAATTAACTGACTGTGCAAGCTCTGCAGAACTCAAACATCAGTTGGAGCTGTAACAGTTCAGAAATGCATACATGAAGCCAGTAATTTAACTGCAACTTGCTCAGTAATTTTTTCAAAGCCACAAAATTCTCCTCTTGAAGTAAAAATCATTGCAAGCCTGATTAAGATTCCTATAAAAATCACTAGGAACAAGGAAAGCTTATTCATTCCTCAGCAAAGATAAGATAACAAGTGCATATTTGATACTGGTTTTGTAATCAGATGTAAAAACAGGATATTAATCAATTTTTATTATATTACTACCTGTCATAAAATGCAGTTCAAAGATGCTGTATTTGATATACCTCAAGTTGCCTGCCTCATTTCTTATGCTTTGTATCAAATAAAAGCTTCAAAATACTTTTCCCTCTGGATCTGCAAGTGGAACTCTACATTTCCTGGATTCAAATAAAGGATGGCATTGCTTGAAAAACGACTGTGTTGCATCATCCCCAGTATTCCCCTTCGAATTAGCAGATGAAGTCATTCGTTAGGAACACAAAAGCACTCTTAGAGAAAGCTGAAACATTAACACTGGACTCTTTACAACCACACCTTTTCCGTGGAAGTCTGGTCAAATAAGGAAAACACTCCCCTCATACATCATACACTGGTCCTTGACGCACCTGACTGACAATACCTATGGTTTTATCATTTCTGTTCCCCAGCCAGGACTCAGGTAACTGAGCTCCAATTCTAAAGCAGTAAAACATCTGCGTTGTAAGTAATTTGAATTGTGTGCATTTGAATTCTGAATCACATTTAAAGAGAAATGCTGAGTTCTGTGGAACGACTGGCAGTAAGTGGTAATGAAATCTTTTGTATAACACAGCACAATTAAGTACTTTCAAGTAGTATGAGATTTCCCTTTAAAATGACTCAACCCAAAAGGAAAATAGTAATCTGGAAAAGAATTTCTGCAGAGAAGTCAATTTGTGAAACAGACAATAAAGAGGAAAAAAAAAAAAGCAAAGAGCTCATTGATTTAGAATCATTCCTTTAATCCCAGTTCCAAGCTAATGTAGCTGTGGCCCTTTTCTGTCTTGCTCACTCTGAGGGAAATGTGGCAGTGCACAACATTCCAGCTGTTTTCACAATGCAGCATGAAGACATTCATAACCAAATTAAAGGAGGAAATACACACAACTGACTGGGACTGCTCATAGAATCTAAATGGGAGGTGCTGGGCTGCAGCTCCAGAGCTGTGTCCAAAACCTGTAACTTCAGCTGAAGGCTGAGCAGGAAGATCCAGATGTGTTGCATAAACACTGAGTATGCAAAGCATGATTTAAACTAACTTGATTTGTAAGGAAGGCAAGGTATTAAGACATCTGGGGAAACTGCCATGGAAGTATTGCTCACAACACACCCACAATACACACCCAGGTATTATTTGTTTCTCTCAGAGTAAATTTTGCCATAAGCCTCATCCTGGAGTTGTGTGCTCAGGAACACACCACAATAAGCTTTTCACTGCTTGTACAAGTTACAGCACAGTTTTTGCAGACAGAAATCACAAAGCAAAACCTGCTTGTTAATGAATGCTAATCTTACCTGGGACTTTGTCAACAGATGCAAAGACAGAGCGCTGCACTGTGGGGTCACTGCTCCCACGCCGGGCCTGGTCATAGAATCTAAATGGGAGGTGCTGGGCTGCAGCTCCAGAGCTGTGTCCAAAACCCATAACTTCAGTTGAAGGCTGAACAGGAAGATCCAGGAGAGCTATGTTTAATCACAATTGATAGTTTTTGTTACTCAAATACACAAAAGGAAAAAGAAGTGACAAGAAAATTGATAGTTTGCTCAGGACCTAAGACTAAACCAGATTTTAACATAACTTTCTTTCATTTGCCTCTTAATTATGGTTACAAATGCACTGACAAACTAAAGAGTCAGTGCTTCTGGCAACCTTTTCTACATTGCTGTCTACACCACATTCACACTAGGGAAACCTCAAAATTTCAGCAGAGAAGAAAAAAACCCCAGGATTACAGGAAGTCCCTTTCACTAAAAAACCATAGGAGTTATTAACAATAAAAAACCCCTTTTGCTTTTCCCTGCAGAAATAAAGTAATTCATTAATTAAAACAGAACACTGCAGAAAGCCATTTAAAGAGACAATCAGCTTTAAGATGGAAAATAAATGCCTTTGCACTCATTCAACCTAAAAGTTTTAATATCAAGTACTAATATCCTCAAACTTGCTTTTATGCCTTGCTTCATGTAAAAAAAATTAAAGTGTCACATATCCACTTTATAAATTCTAAGTTAAATACGGAAGTAAATCTATTCCTTGGAAACTCAGCCCTGTTTTAGAGCTTTCTGAGCCCACCACTCCTCAGTGTGCCTCAGCCTGACATGACAGTGACTTGCCATGAGAGCCCAGTGTTCTCCCAGAGGCACTGCAGGACACCACTGTTGCCTTCTGATACAAGGCAGGCGGCCTGGTTTCAGGAAGCAGCACGGCGACCCTCTTCTCCAGGGTCGCTCGGGCCTAAGAAACACGCGGACACCAATATGGTGGAGGATCAAAGGCCTTTATTCTCTCTTCTCGTGGGGTTTTATAGTCTAGGGGGCTTCTACGTCAGGTGAGGGTCTGTCTTTACCATCTATGGTTAGTAGGGATGGAAAGTTGCCTGGGCAAGTGGAAAATTACTGGAATCTGGTTCAGGGGACTACATTCTTATGTTAATTTTCTTATCTAAGGGGACAGGGGCCCTGTCTTCCTGTAACATCACGAGATCTTCCGAACGCCAGGCCCTATCTGCTACACACCACCCACCTGCTATCACTGCAGGACACCACCCACCTGCTATCCTCTGCATTTTGGTGCGCCGGGCCTGGATGCGGCCCTTGGCCAGGCGCTGCTTGGCGATGATGCAGCGAATGTGGTCGGCAAAGATGAACGTGGCCTGCAGGATGGGGAAGGGCTTGGAGTGAGGGCTGGAGGCAGGCTTGTGGATGATGATGTTCAGGGCTCTGCTGTCATCCTCTACTCCGGTCACCTGCATATCCTAAAGAGAAGCAGAAGGCAAATAGTTAAAATAAGCTTTTCTAAACTACAGATTAAATATCAACATTGAAAGAAAGTACTATAAAAATGTTTCATTAAAGCTGTTACTAAGACAGTTTCCATGTTAAAAAACCCAGCAGTATAAAACCAAACCAGACTCTGCAAGTTGTGCAACTTGAACTTACTTCTTCAGAAATTAATATTCATAGAGATTGAATTAAATTATTTGAGCACAGCAAATTTTCAGGAAATACAAACAGCAACAGTTAAGGCAATAAAGAGACAAATGAGAAAAAATTCCTTAGATAAGCACACATCATTTCAAAATTACAACCTGTCACCTCCACCTGTAGGAAAATCAGAACTCTAAGTAAGTTCATTAACTACTTGAGTAAAGTGCTTGGAACACAATCCTAACCAGATGTGACTTCAGTCTTCAAATGAGTATAGCCCATCAGATGTTAAGGAAGTTACCCCATCTGCAATTGTGTCTCTGGTTACCTACGTAAACTTCTTCAGAAATTCAGAATTGTTTTAAAAGGCAGGAAGCAGAAAAAAGACCAAAGAAACAAGGAAGCATGGTACAGAGCTTAAATATATAAGCTAATACTGGTATTACTATTTATCCAACATAAAATGTAGATTTTCAGCTCAGAAAAGCTGGCCACCCAAACTACAACTTCCCTTACCTGCAGAAGGCCTGCAAACTTAACTACTCCCCATCCAAGTCTGGCAACATCTGGTTCAACCAAACTCATCTGGTAAATATCCACAGCCAGGAATCTTTGAACTTGTCCCCCATCCTTTGTTACGACTGTACAAGCAATCAGATCACTGTTATCTAAAGGAAGGAAGGAAGGAAGGAAAAAGGTTACATAACACTGAAGTTGAGGATTCTGGGGTGTGGGTATTCTACATAACAGAAAACGTTAACATACAAAAATATAACAACCTTGATAACACATGGTTAAAGCTTCTGTTCGCATTTTTAATAGATATTTTAACTTTCCTATCATAGTTACACAGAAAGGGCAGGAGAGATTTTAACAGCAGTGGTTCAGACATACAAGTTAAATATAAGATGGGTACTATAGACACCTTGCTTTCTCTTACTATCTTCACTACCTTTCAGAAAAGAGCTCCTTTCATCTCAGGGGTAAAACTGCAACATTCTTATTTCTCTTACCACATGAAGTCTCAAGAAAACTTGTAAACAACCACAGCCAGACCCAACACCACTGCAGGCCATGACTTCTACCTTGTTATAAACTTTGTCTCCTGACACGAGCTACTTTTCTACAGGTCTGAAATCTATGCTGGCTCTTGGACACACTTCAATTTCAAGATTATTTGGACTCTCCAGGTAAATTGTAGCAGTGTTTTGACAATGTTTGATATTTCATTGACTTATATTGAACAAACAGACTCTTACTCCAGAAACCCCTCCAACAAACCCCAAAATACATTCTCCACCATTTCCTCACTGCCCTGTTCCAGTTCAAACCCGTTATTAATGAAAAGGGACTAAATCACCCTGTTCACACCAGCTGAAATCTACCAATCAGCCCTTAAACTGGCAGTGCCAACCCCTAGCAGAGCTCTGCTAACTCGCCAAGAGCTGCTTTTTCCTTTGCTTCATACTGATACTTTCATTCATATATTTGATGCACACAGGTCTTTTCCTCTCCCTCATCTAGTACAACTTACAGCAAGTAAAATATTGTGAAGGCTATACAAATCAGTAGAACTTATTTACTCATCCAGACATCTAAACAAGCATTTAACACCACTTTTCACACTAGAAACATCTGCAGGATAAACTACAAGTGGATGTGTACAGCTCTTCACAGTGGCAGGTCACATAACCATAGACAACAGCCATAAATTATGGTCAGGAGGTGGAAGAAATTCTTTTGTGCAGCTGATTACCCAGAGATGATGTGGAATTTACATCACCAAAGGTTTTCAGGCTTCAAAAATCAAACCAACTTCCTCTTCCCCACAAAAAACCCCCCACAATACAAGTGAGAGATCCTTCCCAACTAACATTTCTGTGAATCTACTAATTACCCTTTACCAGCAGGATCCATTCAAAATTCATTGGGTGGTAGGAAAGAAAGGCATGAAATATAGAACCCTAACACAATTAAGAGGATAATTAATGCTAACCAGTGTGAAACTACTGTCAGCTTTTGAAATTTGAGAAAACAAGTTTAATCAATAAATGCAATACATACAGGACATGATTCAGTTAACATGAGAATTGATTGCATTAACCTTCTCACAGCCCTGGAAGATTCAAGAAATCCATAAAGGACTGGCAAATATTACTGTAAGAATCTGTGGAAGATTTATTCCTGTTTAGAGAAGGAGCTGAGACACCAGGCAGAACTGGCTATTTCTTATTTTGGTATGCTTCATTTCTTGCCTCTTTTATTCTTTAACCAAATTAATCCATCAACAGTTATTTCAGTTGACTTGAATTCCTGGAGCACTCCTGCTCTTCTCAAGACAAAGTGCTTGGATTGGGACTCCTTCAAACAGGAGGTGTCAGGCTGATGACTCTTTTGGGAGATTCTCAACTAACAGGCCACAGCACCAAATAGAGTTGTGGAGTTGTCAAATACTAGTTTTGACCAGTTTTTTGACCAGTATTTACAAAGTTTTTAGTGCAACAGTAAGCAGGTTAAAATACTTGCTATACAAATTCAACTGCCCAAGTACAAAAATGCACTTCAGGAACTCAAAGGGCAGAATGCTTTCCAGAACAGAGAGCTTTTACTTTAGACCTGACAACACCCTGAAGTACAGCATTACTGTAAAAGTCTTTAAAAGAAACAGAAAGGAAAGTTACTCATTTATTAGGCAACTGTTACAGGAATCCTTTGAGCCTATACAACTGAATATAGTTCATTTACATGACTGTTTCTAGTTCACAGCTGCTGAAGAGTCAAACTGTCATCCTTGATGACAAAAACAGAAGAGAAAGTGTGGTCAAACACATTTTCAGTGAACTGCTGTAAGAATACTTACAGCTCTGCTATGAAACAGCTCGAGATACCCAACCACATTCAGATGAAAATATCAAGCCCAGTAAACTTCAGTACTATTCAAATTTGGTCTGATTACAGTGAACCACAGGCTGAGTGGCTTCCTGGTGTGGCACTGCTGCAGAGAACTGGAGTGCCTCTCCTGAGATAAACAGCAATGGCTAATTTCTCCCATGCAAAATGAGGTTTGTAACCAGTTTGGATGCTACACTTCCATCACTTGGATCCAAAATTTCTGTGAATTTTCTCCAAGAAAAACCCAAGTTTTGGGAAATACAGCCAAGGAAGGAGAGTTCATAGACCTCAGGTGCTTGCAATGCTGAAGATGTAAATTCAGGGAAAATAGTTGTCTGTGTTTATGAAAATATTTGCCTGAAAAGACTGTATTGTAAGAAATCTTCATGAATATAACAGCTACTCAGTATGGTCTAAATGCACCTGATCTGCCTTGGGGCTTGATCTTTAATGATTTTATAATTTCCAGCCATCCCAATTCCAGAAATGATCTGCAGACATTAAAAGCTCTTACAGAAAACTTTCAGCCCTTTGTAAGCACAGCTGGCAGCCCCAGATAAGCATTAGGCTGGAGATAGTGAATGCAGCACCTCCCACTTCACAGGAAGAACTTTCCCCACAGCAGGCAGCCCTCTGGGATGATATCCAGCTTTACTGAACAAGAAACCAACCAGTCATGGATCCACCTTGTTCCCATGGAGTACATTTAGTTCATGTTAGAGGAGGTGTCCCTGGTTATACATCTGCACCACATTCTGGGTTACTCTCCTTGCCACAAATATGACAAATTATCCTGGACACCTTTTTTAGCTGATCCTGCTTTGAGCAGGGGGGTTAGACTGGATGATCTACTGAAGTTCCTTACAACATCAATTATTCCATCATAAACTTTTCTGAAGTCTTTTTAAAAAAATGTTGACTGTGATGGCCTTTTAGAGCCTGCTCACTCTGCCAAATATGCAAAGAAACTTAACTATAAAGTTACTTTTTTTCTGTTTCAGCAAAGAAAAAACAGCTTTAAATGTATCCTCATTTACCTCTTGGCCATGGCATTTAAAACATTAAAGAGAATCCTGTTACCACCTGAAACCAAGCACTGAGGCCGTTAATTTGAGCTGCCAGTGACTTCACACAGTGAGCTGCTAAACAGGACTGAAAACACCTCCAGCCTCACAGGCAGTCTAGGTGAGACAGTTAGCACAAAATATGTAATTGCTTCAAAACTACTGACAGCAGAAAAACACTGCAAAGTAACAGCTGCTCTAATTCTGATGACAGCATATCCAGCAGTATGGAATGAACCCTTTGTGGAATTACCTGACTCTCTGTTCAGACATTTATATATATTCATATATATTGGTGACAACCTTGTAACTACACCTAAAGGTTTGCATTTAACATATGTGCATCAAAATATTAAAATTGCTTCTTTACAAGAAACTTGAATCTCCATCAAACTCACATAAAACATGATCATTACATTCAAGCAAAAGGAAAACAAAGAGCTATTTTGATACAGGCTTGTGGGATTTTTCCAAATCAAAACAGTAGCTGAAACCATTACTGGGTCATCTTAACCTCTACTCCCCTCTTAAAAGGACTTGTATACAAACAAGCATAAACACTGAAGGCATCTTAATGTTCCCAAGAATTTTAAAAGCCTTGTATTAATAGAGATTGAGGAAAATTTGTCAAATCAACAACACCTCCAAAGTGGTCTTTAAAAAAGACACACAAATGTAATTTTTTGGGTCATGCTTTGCCCACTGCAGAGTCTCCTCCCAAGGTATGGCACCTATGCAATCCTGTGCATCCTGCATGCTCTGTGTGATGTTCTCCTTGATATCCTCCTGTCTCTCTTGTTTGGGCAGAGACTCCAACTGCAAAATACATTTTTATGCCACAACACACAGTGGAACCTCAACACCCTGCTACTTCAATTCAAGTAGTTTAAGTAAGAACAGCAGTAACAAGCAGTTTAGGAGAAAAAAGTCAGTAATTTTTGTATCAGACTATTTAGGAAATGGAGGGGCTACTTACTCAAATCCAGAACATCATCTGCCTTTATCAGATCTCCCTCCCTCGTGAGTGGTAACTGAGTTTCCAGCTCACCTTGCAAGTGCAGGGACAGTGAACGGAGCATAAAGAAAACTCTGATTGCCTTGAGAAATTCAAGAAAAGATTATCAGAATATTTTTACACCCAATACTACATATTTTAACAGAATCTTACAAACAAATACTGGCTTTTACAATTCCCAAGTTTGCTGTCCTGTAGTAAATATTTTTAATACATTTAAAATTGAAATTAAAATTGTAATACCTTTCACATTGGAAAAGTAGAATGTAATTTCCAACTTAGTTAAAAAGAAGACATGAAAGAAGCTGAAACCTGCCATTTATTTTCAGTGAAGTAGGAGCAGCAGAGCCTTTGCATCACTGGCACACTTAGACAGCCTGTGACTGACAGGGAAACAACTACAGGAGCTGTTTATGCAAAACAATCCTGGAATATTTTTATTTAATCATTATTTAAGACTGATTGTATTTGCAATACTTCTATGCTATAGACACCTACACAACCGACCTTCAGAGACTCTCACATTTGGAACTTAGAACAGTAATAACTTTTCTGGCCAAGTCTAGCTAATATGTCTACAAGTTAAGACAGAAACAGAGGGGATTTCTGCATTTTAATTTGCTGTTCTCACTAAAGCTAGCCACATGGAACTTTCTCAGAGCACTTAATTTATATTCTCAGAAGGTCTTCATCAGGGCAAAGCATTCTGAAAGCTGTAACAGTCCCAAGAAACTTTCAACAGCTGCTCTGTGAAATGAATATACTAGTTTTGATTTACAAATTCATGACATATGGTATGCAAAGACCCAAAGTGTCAAAGAACAATCATTTTATTAGCCACATTTTGAAAGGCCCCATTTATAATCCTCTTTCCCTACAAGAACTGCATTTTCAGTACAGCAAATGAAAAATCATTTTTTATTACTTCCGGTGTTCTGCTTTTTAAGAGTTTCCTACACAGTAATTCTGTGGTGTACTGTAAATTAATGCTGCTTTACAGTAACAGCATTGAATTCATGAACAGCTGCAGTGCCCAGAATCTCCCAGATTGCAGGAAGTACTAGGAAAAACAAATCTAAAGTGCTTTAAGGGAAAACTCTTCACTCCTCTATTTTTAAAATCAACAGAACAGTGGCTCCTGTGAAGTAGAACTGTGAGGGTTTGAGCTCTCTGCTGGCAGTGCTTCCAGGAATCTCTGACACAACAGGGATGAAGAGAGGGAAGCCATGTATCAGGTTCTTCCATGAAATTACCCCAAAGCAATGGCTTTGGGATGCAGCTGAAATTTAACAGGGTAATCTCATTATGTGGAGCAAAGGACACCAAGGGTATCTAACAAAAATATGATAATACTATTGAATTCATGAGAACACAGCCACTTTAGAATCTGAGATGATCACTCCCATTCAGGCAGACTGCACTCTCTGGATTTACTGAAATTATATAGGACTACTATAAAGCAGTTTTCCTACCAAGTGCTTCAAGAAGAATTCACAGTACTTGGTTTAATATTTGCCAAATTCAGTCAAGAAGAGGAAAATCTTGCCATTTTGGTAACCCAAAAGTTAAACCCAACAATGATTTTGTTTGGATTTTTTTTTTTAATTTGGAGGGCAACCATTACTCAGCTTTCACTTATCTGCCCCCTCAAACCTCTTCCTCCTAGACTGCATTAATTTTTATCACATTTATTTCCTATCAAACGAATGACACTCATCTCCAAACATGCAATCACATTTAGTGCAGAATGAAGTACAGGAGTAGAAAATAAAATCAGAACTTTAGCCTTTGCAAAAAAAATAAAATGAGCAAGAACATCAGATGAAATGGAAACTGTGCTGTGCTTCCTACAATACTGACAGCCCACAGTTGGTTACAAAATCAATGTACTGTGCCTAGTGTATTTTATCAGATCTCAATGAAACAACAGAAAAGTTCTGTGGCCTAGAAATTTTTGGCTGACTTTTAGTTTTTTGGTTAACTTGGAATAAATATGGATTTCTATCTACATTAAAGTATTAGGCAACTATGATCCTGATTTCCTCATCCATATACAAGTTCTATGTGCAAAGACACATCAATTTGCAGGGAAGCCTACCACTATCTTATTATATTCCCAAGAAAGTGTTCTTAGTAATTCAAAAACTTCTCACAAAGGGAGATTTTTGAGGGCTTCTCCTAAAGTTGATAAGACAAGAGCTGCCACTTACAGGGACTTTCCATAGCAAGGAAGTAAGATCCTAACAGTTAAGAACTCAATATAATCAAAGTTCACTTGCTAGTGAAATAAAACTTGAGAACTTTTATGAATCGTGTCAGAGCATGTTCAGAACCAAATCTTTTTGCATTTGAAACCATCCTTAGAACCTCAGCAGGTTGGGTGGCAGCAGCAATGTCACAAGGGATACCTGAGTCCAGCATTTTGCCATGGCAGGTCAGCCAGGGCAAGGCAGCACCACGGGAAATGAGGAGATAGCAAACCCTGAATCATTCTGGGAATTCTTGCTCATGGTGGAGACCCTTTCATCCCAGAGGCTCAACAGGAATATTTGTATTGATGTTTTTATTTCCACCAACAGAAGTTAAGCTATTCCTTATTTAGCACAAGAAAATCCTGGAACAGCCATTTCCCACTAATGTGCATTTCTAAGTATCTTTCAGTTGAATGCCTCAGAGAATTTCAGGAAGCATTTCTGCTTTCTAAGAAGAATACTTTTCAAAATAATTCACTGTCTTCTATCCAACAACTTGGTGTGATAACAAAAGCTGTGTGGCTTAGAAGCAATGAAAATGAACCCTTTCAGAAGATTGCTGGAAATATGTTACTGCACAAAATCATCATCTGGGAAGTGCTGTTCTCTATGTTTCCTTGCATTTATATAATTGTATTATCTAAGCATATTCTAGTACTCTTGAAGGAAAAAACCATCTCTTAGATTTACTGACACTGCAAGGCTTCTGGGACACAGCCAGATAAGGGCCAAGAACTGATTAACCAAGAATGAAAATGAGGATGTTGTCATTCAGGTCAGCATCACCTGTACAGATTGTGGCAGTCACAAAAATAGATACTTTGCTGGTTCTCTCTTCCTTCTCAAATCTCTATCACAAATTACCTTAGCAAGATAAACTCTCAAGTAAAATTAAATTTTTTGCCATGTCTAGAAATATGAATGATACAAAGCCAGTCTTCCATGGAGATTCTTACTACAGGAATATAACTGAGATTGCAGATCACAAAAGAAGCTGACAATATATTGAGTGTTATCAAAATGCCTTTGCATGTAGCTTTCTGTATGGTCTGAAAATTCAAGCCCCAGTGCAAGAACACGTTGCATTGATTAGACATAAGAAATCAGAGAAAAAGCTTCTCCACTGGGGCACGTAATTATTATATATGCTCTACACAGACCTGTCTTCAGCAAGCTTTATGATTTTATGGATGAACCTTCCAATCAAGCAGTCTTCTAAGAAAAGTATTTGTACTCCTAGAATTTCTCAATGATTTTGGCATCACTTTGTCATAAGCAGATGGAAGGAAAACAGTCTTACTCACTCTTCGTGTTCTTTCTACATCTCCACAAGGCAACCTCTTCACAAAGTCAATGCCGGTCAGAGGAGTCCCCGTTGGGGGCAGCAAGATGGAGGCATCCATCATCAAGTATTCTACATTCATAGGTTTCATCTACAGAAATATTTCAGCACTGGTTAGTGTACAGAACAAAAACCATTTGTCTCTAGTTTCAAATACAACTCATTGTTGTGTATTTTAAAATTCTGAGAATTTTTATTACTGTCTTATTTAAGGGCCTTACATGTAATCTTTCAGTTAACTCCATGCAACCTCTCTCATTGTTCCCAGACACACTGCCGAAGTTCTCATACAAATAAAACACAGGAAAAACTCCAGAAAATTACTGAAAAGGTATTTGCAAATACTAAAAACCAAATTCTGCCAGGTTTAAGTTCAAGTTTTGACTTAAATTTCTTGATACTTCCATCACAAGGAAGTTTCTCATTACTTTTTCTCTCCAAACAGAACTTTCTCAGAAGAGAGAACATGCTGAGCTTCAGACAGGAATAGGAAGATTTTCATATTGTTTTGGGAAAAATAATAAATCCAGTGTCCCATTTAGGGACACTGAATGTAGGCTGAAGCAATTTTTTAATACTCAATTTTATAAGTAATGGAATTTTATCAAATAAAGAGCTGTGAAGTTTCACATAAATAATTTATGTAAGTACAGACACAACTTCTCAAGAGACAAAAACACCACTGACATTTTGTTGTCCTACTCCCAGTAATAAGGACCCCAGTGTGCTCAGCAGCTATCAGCACTTTTTCTTATCCCTGTGCTGTATCTGGGTTTGAGGATTTGCCAGGGCAGAAGAGATCTCACTTACTGTCATAGTCCTGTATTCATCTTCAAACATATCCAGAAAGATTTCTTCTCCCTTCCAAAAGAAAGAGCATGGACATACCATGAGCCTTCTGTCTGGGGCTCTGTCAGGTTTGCTCTGTGCAGTGTCTGTGAAGGGAGGCAGGGCTGCAGGGCACTGCTGAGCCCTTCAGCAGCACTGCTCACACCTCTGGGAACACACACTGAGCAAAGGGAGAGATTGCTCTGCAGCCCCTGCAGGGCCCTGGGGGAGCAGGTACCAACCCTGCAGCAGGCAGATGTGCAGATGTGCCCTGCAGGAGCCACACTGGGGCAGGGGAAGGCGTGAGGAACAACAGACAGGAGCTGTTCTGGACTGACATCAAATCCCTAATTCCCACTGCCCCTGCATCACTCACAGGAGGACAAGGTTGAAGAGCCAGGAATGAAGCTGAGCCTGGGAAAAGGGAGAGCTGGGGGACAGTTTTAATTTGTCTTTGTTTCTCACTATCTAAATTTATTTTTCTTGGTAATAAACTAATTTCTGTGAAGTTGAGGCTGTTTTGCCCAAGACTGTAATTGGCAAGTGACCTCCCTGTTCTTTATCTTGACATGATATTCTACTCTCCCTCCATCCTGTTGAGGAAGGGCAGTGAGAGAGCAGCTGAGTGGACCTCCAGCAGGCAGCCAAGGTCAACCCACCACAAGTTACTTATTTTTTGTAAGCCACATTGAGCAAACATCCTTCAAGAGAATTCTAAGAAAAACAGGAAGATATTTCAGCCACTTGAAATCTGTCACGGATTTACTGCTCCTTATATAGAAGTTAATGCCTGGGGCTAAAAAATTTAATTTCTTTCATTGTTTACAACACATGTAGAAGTAAAAAGCTGCAAAGGTTTCCAATAAGGAAAAAAAAATAGAACTTTAGATGATCATTTCAGATATGACACAAACAAAAAGCAATGTCAAAATCAAACATATTCCACATTAGTGTCAGTGATAAACTTGATCTCCAGTACAAACCCTGGGAGTATTCCAACAGCCCCTTGTGACATGGGTCAGGGTGGTATGGGAAGGAATTCTCCAAGAAAACACTTCCTTCCCTATCACAAATTTGGAGTTCCCATCTTAAAAAAGGTGCTTCTTTGGACACTGTGTAAAGACTGGGCTGCAGACATTCCCCACAGGTAAAGGACTTCCTTCCCACAGCATTCTGCATTTACCTTATAGAAACGGCGAAGGAGATGAACACTTTCCTCCCTTGCACCCTAGCAAAGAGAAAATGTATTTCAGGGAATACACTTACTTATTAGTCACATTAAACAACCCACCCACTCATACAGAACAGACTGTCTAATAATTCATGGCCTTAATCCTAGAATTTGATAGAATACAGTTCTTGCACCTATGAAAATGCAGCTTGAGTTTATTATTTATTATTTCAAAAGCACTTTTCTTTACATTGTTGAGATGGATAACATACAAGTTTCAGAGAGACAATGAAACACAAAACTGCTGGAGAAGTTACAAGTTAAAATAGCAGAGATGAGAACAGAGCATAGGTTATGATATTCACAGCACAGAGCTACCAATGCAAAGATGTTCTGGAAGCTCAAATTTCACATCAAGGCTGACTGCAACCAGAAATGAAACAAATTGATTCAACTATACTCCAAGACTAAGCCACCAGTAATGCAGTGACTGGGAATTTGAAAGAAAATACTCACCTCCAGACAATCAAGGTGAACACTTTTTATGATCCTGCCATTTTTGGAAAACACAAGCTGCTTCAGCAATAGGCAGCCAAGTTCTAAAGTTGCCAAACGAATTTTTCCATCTGAGAAAAGAAAATTTCAACATACAAAATAGTAGCAGTTTAGTTACAGCTCTTGTGATCATTCCATGTTCTTAAATTCCTGCAATTGTCAAACTTTGCTCCTTTGAGTGCTGGTGCTGCCTTACTATGCCTATGGCTATAAAGAAAAAACTGGAAGAGTATTTTAAAGTAGAAGAAAATTTAAAGCAGAGCCATTCAGTAAGAAGGGAAAGATTAATACTATTAAACAGTGAGCCCAACATTGGGTTTTGCTGCCTTTATCCATCTGCAGCACAGGCTGAATTACTCTAAAATTACACAAGGATCCCAGACATTTGGGATGGATGAAGTTACAAGGTGAAAGGAAGCTTTGTATATAGTACACTAATAAGGCACAGCTTTCCCTTGAAGGGAGAAAAGGAGATGTTCTACACAGCAGCAAGTTGAATAAAACATACCCCATTTCCATCCTTGCCCAGCCCCTCCCTCCCCAGACATGCCTTTATTTAAATAAATACATATCCTCACTTGCACTCCTTCCTGCTGCTGCAGGTACAAACTCTTCATATATAAACATGTTTTTCATCTCTGACACATCAGCAGAAGTTAACATGCTGTAGAGCAGTTTTGCAAGTCAAACAAACAGATTTTTATTCTACAGACATTCCAAAATTTGATAGGGTGTCAGTTTCTGGGGAAATCCAACTCTACCCATGTACAGTTTTAAGGGGGCAAAGGCAAGGAGGAGAGGTGTGGCTTGAACAAAGATCATTTTCATGGAATAGGTCATGGAACACCTGGTTTCACAAAAAAAAAGGAAGAAAACCCCCAACACTTTCTGCAGAACAGTTCAGAACTGAAAATACAACCTGAAATAAAAAAAAAAAAGGAGAAAATTTGCTACCGCCTAGAGCTGACAGATAAAGGACTGCTATAAGCAAAGCACACCATAGTTTTCAAGATTATTTCTCAACTGAAATTATTTCTACAAGCAAACGTGAGACAGATTGTATTTTCAGGATAAAATCAATAAATATAAAACCCCTCAAAATTGCAATTTTTGTTTATTCAGAAGTGCACAAAGTAAGAATTTAGACAACAATATAATATATAATAATGTATAGTTCTGAGTATAAAAACAATTACTCAGCACAAATCCAGAATTTCTGATTCCTCACCAGCCAAGAAAAAGCCAATAGTTGTCTTTCACAAACCATATCTACATACTGCTCATCAAAGAGCAGCTGAACAATCACTTTCTCCTCAAAGACAAGAGGCTAAGTAGCTTCTTTCTATCTCCAAAAATTTCACCTTGGAAGGAAAAACAAACCCTGGAAAAGCAATACCTGGTTGTGCAGCATAATTCATTATCCTGATGAGCCCTTCTGCAAGGACATGATTGTAGGAATTTCTCTCTTCAGCATTTTGAGCTGGAAGTTGAATTCTCTCCAACTTGACTGAGTCAAGTCCTTTCATGAGAGTGAAGGAAAAAATGCAAATTAGAAAACAGGAGTGTGCTCTGAGGTAAGAATTTAATAGACCACAGCAGTTTTCTCAGAAGAGAACAATTAGCAATAGGAAACTAAGCAAGATATTTTGAATTTGTATGACAAGGAAAAGGAGGAACAACAAAGACCAAACACATTGATGAATCCCTGAAAATTCTCAGCCTTAAATGGGGACTACTGAGTGTCAACACTCAAATCTCAATGTTGTTGGTGAAATGCAAATGATTTTGCTATTTCTGAAATTCTCAGATTATTTGTTTGCATCTAAATCAAATCAAAGTCAAGCCAAACATCTGGAGAGCAAAATGGCTAAAGGGGAGAAGATCAAAGTCTGATTTTAAATTCTGCTTTGGTAGTTAAGTAATCTGTTAATATATGTTTAAACTAAATAGGAATTTTATTTTGTAGTAGTCCTATTTAGTATCCTCTCCAACACAAATAAAATTTTCACTGACTTGTTATATAAAGAAACTAATCCCATCTTTCTTTAATATATTCCTCTAAAATAGCAAAGTTCTTTCTCAGGAAAGGCTGGTTTGCTGGGAAACCTCTTAGAACAATAAACAATGATGGACTGTGGGGATCTTCCTGTCCCATTCTAAAGAACAGCAATAAACAAACCCACAAAGCAGAAGATGACTCTACTGAGGTTCTTCCAGTGCTGGCCTTGCAGTTGACTCCACATCACTGCACTTACCTTTGTTGTGTGACATTGCATATAACAGACAGAGCACAAAGAGGGCGTAGTAATCATCTTCAGGACAGTCCAGTGCATTGTAGACCATATCAAGGAAAGGCCTGTGGAAAGGAAGAATTTAGAAACAATTTTAAAAATCTACAGAAAAATGGGTAACCATCTTATTGTACACGCAGCTAATGGAAAAGGCAAATTCACAGTAATGCACATTTTCAGCCATTATAACAAAAGAGTTCTGTTACAGAGTACTCAGATTACAGCCATGCTTTGTATTTACATACTGACAATAATTCTGAGTTTTAACCAGATTCATTACATCATACTTTCCCAAGAACTGCTTGTTCAAACAGTTACTGGGTTGTTTGTAGCCTGTTTAGTAAGTACACAGAATCACAGCAGAGCTTGCTTTAAGTGCATACCTAAGTAAACTCAAGGAGCTGCTATCACTGTTGTATAAAACAGACTCCTTCAAAACTCATGTGCTAAACAGAATTGAAAAGCTCTTACTATTACAAGTAAGCATTTTTACCAGAAGTTTGGAGGAAGCCAGGTTTTCCTAAAACAAGAGTTTCACTGCCCAACAGTTATAGGAAAGAAATATTAACTAGGAGGGAATATCTGAAGAGAAAAAAAAGGTTTGGATTGTAGATAGGTTTTGTTTTCCTGAGTTTAAACACTTATGACCTATGACACATATACAGAAAGTTACAAACAGTGCTAAATTCACCTTTTCTTTACCTGTACCTTGGAAAGAACAAAAGTCAGTGTAATCCAGAAGGCATTGGGACAGATCAGATGCTGCTGAGATTAGCCTGACATTAGCACAGGCCTGATGGCAAGGCAGCTCCACTTCTGGCCCTAGGATGGCTTGCATCCAGTCAGTAGTTCCAGTTCAGAGCACATTCAAAAATGAAATATTTTCACAGCTGGCCCAGCTAAACAAATGATGTGTCAGGGCAGTGTCACAGCCATCAGGAGATGACACTGTGTGTGGAAGCCCGAGTGGAAAGGGTTTATTCCTATCTGCTAAACTATACTTTAACAGTGAAAGGAAAAATATCCTTACATTATCTAAATTATTAAAAAAAAATATATTAAAAGAACAGTAAACAACCTAAACCCTAAACAACCTAAACCCTAAGCTGTATAAGTACTATTTAATATAATTTCATTAAAGCCAAAGTTTTACCAGGTGGAAGCTGCTGAGGTATCAGCAGTTATTCCATTAACACCAATATTACACAGTATTAAATGACTTCTCTGATGCCTAATGCATTTTTCACTGTTTTCCCCCACATACTACTTAGATTAATGAAATTATGAAACTTGAAAAAAATCATTACAGAGCAGCAAGAGATACCATTTTCATTCCAGATGTTTCTTCAAAGCATCTTATCAGCATTGTCTGTCTCAGCCACAATAACCTGAGGCTGAAACAGCTTCCAAGAATCCCCCTCACCAATGTTCCTCATTTAGATTAAATACACAACAGACCCAGAAAACTTCAGCCTAAGAAAACAGCAACAGAAGCCACAACAGAGCATGAGGATTTGACATGCTTTGGAAAAAAGCTTTGCTGTGCAGCATTACATAAAGTGAAGCTAATTTAAAACATGTCTTTAAGCTTAAACTTTCCAGTAGTGAGGCCTATCAAAATAAAATAACACCTAAAATACTTAAGCTTTTTCTTTTGTTTTTCACAGTAGGTAAAGGGCTAAGGAAAATGAAAAGCTTGACTTAGCTTTTACAGCTGCAGATTTTAAACTGCCAACTGTGCTGTTTTCCATTTATTTTTCAACAAGTATTGGACTGTTTTAAAAAGAACCAAAGGCTATATGGTAAGTATTTTCAAATGTATTTCTTAACTCTGTAAGCTTTGCTTCCTTTACTTCTTCTACTAAGGGCTTGACAGCAGCAGCAGATCAAATGCCATACAAGTGTTCCTCAGATTATTTATTCTTGTGGAGCATGTCCACAACTGAAAACTGCCACCCACTGGGAACCACTGCCACCACAGCATGAATGACTATTGCAGGTGTGGAAGCTTCAGTTCCAGCATGGCACAGAGCTCCCTGCATTTTCCACTCCCACATGGTGCCTTATCCACAAGGCTCAGTGATTCCAACCAGTGTAGGACAAACTGCACATACTGAGGCAAGTCTCTTGAGAAATTTAGCTGCTGCTTCAAACACTATGCTTGGCATAATAATACATCTTAAGCTACAGCAGCTAATCCACTGACATTCCAAAAAAAAAAAAAAATCACATATAAAACAAAGGCCAGAATCGCCCTATACAAGGTATATCCTTATTTTAAAACTATTTTTAGCTCTGCACATACTTTGATGTTGCTTATTTTTAGAAAAGATGCAGAATTCTGCGAGACCACATCTGCAGATCAAGAGAGGCCTGAACTGCAGACATTTGCCAAATGCACTGGCAGCTCACTTGCATTCTGCTCTTTTCAAGACCTGAGCATCCCAGTCACTTTAGTATTCCATGCACTCACTGCCAATTTCTTTCTAAAAGCCATTTGGCACATATTTTAGTCAAATTATCAATAATATAGAACAGTGTGTTTTAAAGCCAGTTCAAGTCAAGGTTCAATTTCACTTTTACAATGAAATTAAATGTTATCTTTATTAATGAATGTAATCTAAACTACAAAGCTATAATGGAGACAGAATGAAATTCTGGGAATACCAGGCAGCATTTCCCAAGTTTAAAAATAAATTTAAAATCCTATCAAACATGCGCATTTCCCCAATGGACACATTTGCAATTACTTTTGTGTCAGGCACATTTGGTTTCTTAACATTCTATTAACAGGAATGCAAAATTCCCAGTGAGAAGGTGTCTTAGGGGTATTCATTACATCCAAGCTCAAATTTTGAAGTCAGGGCAATTTCTGCTCCCAGAAACACTTATAAACTGTATTTCCAGTAGAAGTTTCCAATAACCCTAAAACATAATAATGGGCCCTGGAAACAGTAAAAGGTTTCAAGGGTTTGCCTATAACTACTGTTACTAAAATTCTGCCCAACTCATCTCTGAACTTATGAATTTTCCTTGTTTTTTCCTTACAGGTGCATACAAAAATAGACAAATGCAACTATAAATATAATAAATAAAACTTCCATCTTAATTTAGAGGTTTAGAAAATTACAAAATGCAAAGATTTGTATTCTATTTTTGTCATGTTAATATTCTGTAATTTAACTTTACCAACTTAATGCATCCCAACTGCCTAAAGGAAAGCACAAACTAAAAAGGAACAGGATCTTTTCCAAAACCAAGCAGTAGAGACTACACTCCACTTTTGTATTGATTCACTCACTTGTGATCCAGAAAAAACCTGTAATTTTAACTTGAAGCAGATTTGAAACATCCCTTTAAGAAAAGCAAAAGATTTAAGGGGAGGATAGGTAAGGAAATTCAGCAACATCTTTTCCAGTTCTTTTATACCTGTTCCAGTTTGTCATGTCACTCCCAGAAGCAGCTGCACTCTTCTCTTCATCTGTTGTATTCTGTTCTGTCACAGCAGAGATGGACAGCTCTGACAGCTTACACCTCTCCATAATTACCATCTCTATTTCTAAAAAAACCAAAACATACCACCAACATTTGCTATTTGCAACAAGATTATCACAAGCTCGTCTGTATTTTCTGTTTGGTATTAAAAGCATTTTAGGCATCTGTATGTAAGAGGTGTAACTATTACTTCAGAAAGGTGAATGAGAGATGTGGGCAAATTTTCTTCCCAGTAAAGTCAAGAATCTGGCTTACACTTCTTTAAGGAATGTAACACTATAAAAAATGTACACATATATATAAAATATGTAAAGAAAATATACATATTATTTTGGCAAATAAGCCACAGTCAGCTCCCTTCCCACGCAAACCACAGGAAGAAAAGCCATAGAACCTCTTTCTGAAAAAAAAAAAAAAAGATTTGTGAAAAAGCTGGTGAGACTGGGGCAGACATGAAGTTTCTGAGCCATGACACATGGGTGGACATGAAGTTTCACTGAGGGTGCAAACAGCCTCCACAACTGCAGCAAACAGGACACCTGGTCCCCAGTGCTTCTCACCTACCGAGCTCCAGCAGAACAAACAAATCTTGCTTTCCCTTAGGAAGCTGAACAAAGATTACAAATAAATGCACCAGTTCAAATAGATTATTTAATATTTTCTTCAAATTATGGAGGAAAATATACCATCAGTTATTTGGCATCATTTAAGGAAAGCCTTCTCAAAAAGACTGTTTACCTAAATCTAAACTCAGTCACGTTTGGACAGGACTGTCAAAGAATAACACCCTTTCTTTCAATTGCTTGCAGTCAATCCTGCCACATTTTTCTCATTTTATGTTTAATTCTCAATTTACATTTAATGTAAGTACTAGGACTTATTATCCTTCTAAATGTTAGTAACCATAAAATAAACAGTTATAATATGCTGTAAGACCACTTATCCTATAAAAGCAGTTCTTAAGTTTGGGCTACAACATAAATGCTGAAAAAGTCCAAGATATTTTCAATTATGAACTATTTAATATCTTCCATCATGTACTGTCACTTCTAGCACACCAGTTAAATTTTATCATTGAAACACAGATAAAATACTGCTGATTGTCTTGCAAAGGTGAAGTGGCTACAGCTCTCCCATGCCACAAAAGGACAAGTTACAAAGCTGTGAGCTTGCTTATCAAGCCATGCACACTGAGGTGCAAGGCATGCACTGTGATAAGGGCCAAGGCCTACAGGCAGATATGAACACACTTCCAGAGCTTTAATGAGATTAGAAGTACACGTTCTCACAGCTTGACTTAACATGAGAAAAAATCCAGCCAAGGCCTTAAACAAATGTCACAGTCCCGTGCTCACCTAGGGCAGCAAGAGAACAAATCATGGAACCAATCACAACCAGCTCCAGCAGTAAACAAAGGTACCTCAATTGGAAGCACCCTTTTCTTGCTGGAATACTCACCTTCATTTTCAGTGCTTGTCCTTACACCCTTTGAACTTGCTTCTGTACCTCTACTTTTATCAAGGTCATCTTGGTTATCTTCAGATCCTCTCTCCTCTTCATCTTCTTCACCAACATTTTTATAGTTGGGTCTTTTCTGCATCCTCTTCTTCCCTTTCTGTTTGTTAATTTCAAGAGACCTCTCAAGTGTTTCCGTGGGTTTTATGAAACATCTGATACTTGACTTTGCCTGTAAATTTGAAGGGTGTACACTGAGTTACAGCACAGAATTTTTAATTGTAATTATAAAGAAACTTCAGTTCATATAAAATGTAAATCAGCACACTATCCACAAATCTCAAACCCATTTTAAAATACAGAAAATTAATACCAAATCATCAGTAGCACAACTTTCCCCAAAGTAACTACCCCAAAGATCTATCATTAAAAAGTAGTCCTTCTTGAGACAGGACAATGCAGAACTACCTAGTTCATCAGCACAAGTTTTATATTGAAGGTGTGAGACATATTGCACATAAAATTCAGACACCTTTTGTAAAAAGGATAAAGGCAGCAAAATCCTACATGTATGTTGACAGCAGCTATTGATATAAATAACAGCCCTTTTAAAGGTGCAAGGGCTTTTTTAAAGCAGCAAGGACAAAATCCAATGCTCTATGCTGTGAGATTTTTGGGTTGGTTGCAGTTTTGGAGTCGCATGCTTCCCTCAATATCAAACTAATTCCTGTATCAAGCAGGAAGAAATGACAGTCCCCCTTTTTCGGGCCTCCAGATTGACTCATCAAGTCTGGAAAACACAACTGCATTTATTAGACTTAATTTACTTGTGTTTTACACAAAGTTATCACAGGATAAGATGGCAAACCAACACCTCATTTTCTTAAGTATTAATTAATTTCAGAACAAGTAAATAAATTTAGATAAATTTCTCCCAGAAGAAATGAAGTATTTCCAATAATGTGTCCTAACAACACAGAACAATGGATTGTTATAGAAAGTGACCAAGATGCTACAAGAAGCTCTGCAAATAAAAGGAGTAACAAATTTGGTTTTTAACAATCCTGCAGCTTGTTTCTGAGCTGTGCTGTTTGAGCTCTCCTCTGCCTGCCAGCTGATCACCAGAGTACAAAATAAGCACTAATCAGCCAAACCTCACTGTTACTGAGAAGTGAAACACATGGTTTGGAGCTTTCTGCCAGGTTTGACCCAAACAGGACAGTTACAGAAACCCCATTAACTTCCAGAGCTCAAAACCTCAAACAGATGCAGCTCACACTGCCCAAAGGGTTAAAAACTTAAGGGCAGGCAAGAGAAAGAAGTAAGACTAGAGCAAATACCAAACTGATTACAGTCTTTGCCTTAGGTGACTCAGTACAATAAGCACTCAAGATGACTGCATCAAAGAAACTCTGGGGAAAAAGTTTGAAAAAATCCTTCCCTTCACTTAGTTGGGAACATCTAAACATAAGAGATTAGGAAAATATCAGGGAAAAAGCTGTCTACAAGTTAAAAGGCCAAAATGATTCTCTGAATCTGATATTTTGCAAATGCTTTATAGAAATATTGCGTAAGTGAATTTACACTTGGCACTGAAACAAACCACATAGTGGGAAGACTATTTTACAATACCAAAAAATCCCCATAAATACAAAATTCACTACACTTATATCCCCCGATATCCTCTTGGATGCATTTTTTGTGTGATCCAACTGCAACACAGGAAGGTTATAAAATGACCAGGCTACCTTTATTATGGCTTCTGGCCAGAAAAGTCATAAGAAAAGGGAAGAGCACCTTAAGTCCTATTATTTAGGGGAAAAACAGAAAAGTAGCATGCAACTTGCAAAACACATTTTCCCCTTTCTGCATTCACTTCTTACTTCTGCATTGCTTCCTAGAATCTTGTAGTTACTTCTTTATGGAGAAAGCATGTACTTAATAACCTTGTATTTCTCATGTGCTCACGAGCAAAGTACCACAAGACACAGCAGACAGTGATGTGCTTGTAAACACTGAGCCATAGTTTGCTCCAAGAAGGAATGCTGTAGAAAAAATCCTACACAAATATTCTGTTCTGCTAAAGGCAACAAGGCTGTATCATTAAAACATTCTAAAATTAGATTTAAAATTATTTTAGATAGCATTTGGTTTATAAATTGATCATACAGGTTGAGGTACTGCTGGTTTATATCTTTAAAATGTCTTTTAACCACATTTTCAATAATGGTTTATCTTGTGCAATGTGTGATGGTAAAATAAGGCAATAGCAGTAACACCTTTTACGGGAAGGAGAAAGTAGGTTAAAGAAGAAACATGCACTAGGTAGAAGTGGCCCACATGTGAATGATGCAGGAAAACAGATCTCACAGGAAGTAAGGTAAACCTTAGTGTGATATCTGACAACTTTAAATACATTCTGCTGTCTATACATATTCAGCTCTCATTGTGACATAAGGGTATTTCTTCTGATGATGCCTAAAACCAGAAATACAGGGAAAAAATATGGAATGATGTGCAGAACTTGTTCAATGGAGCCTGGGCAATCACTACTGCCCAGTGATGTTCAGCAGATCTCCATGGGTAGGTTATTGCCAATTTGTAAGATATCACCAGTTACAACTGCTGGTCATTTTTTCCATAAACTGATTTATAGTAAACAGTATCACTTGTTCCTCTTGTGAGAACTACCACTGCTCTTTGCCCTAAATAACTCAGGGTATTTTGCATTTATACACAGCAACTGTGATGTTTCTCAGCTTTTATTTTTGTGAAGTGTTCTTTACTCAGTGTCCCAGCAAGAGGACTCTGTGTAATGAACTCAGTCCTTACTCTTTATCTCATTCCACTTTAATTTATCTTATTAGAAAGATGAACAGAGATATGAGGTTCTACATCTGGGTTTAGAAACTATGTGTTAGTTAGAAACTGGCATTTACATTTCAACTTAAACATATCAAGACATCTCAGTTACAACAGATGAGCAGTGATAGGTACAGAGCGAGGGTTTAGAAATAGCTGCAGTTCACCACAATACACAGATTCCCCACAACAACAAGCTTAGGACAGTATCAGAACAGTTATCAAGATAAATTAGAACACAAAGGAAGTAGTAAATGATAAATTTGGGTCTGATTTAATAAAAAAAAATCTACATTCAGACTAAAAATAAATTTTAAAAATTGCTCATCACTTCTATTTAACAATTCTAAACTAACTTCTGAAGTAACTTTCAGTGTTCAATAGAAGTTGGCAATTTCTTTGCAACAGAAAATACCACAGCAATAACCCTGCAAGGATCCTGAGGTGCCTTCATTTGCACAGCTGACCTGAGCCCCCCTGCACTGAGCTCTATCAGCAGGGAAGCCAAGCAGCAGCTCCCACACAGAGCAGCCACAGAAACCATGGAGCTCCTCTGCTGGACACTGCACCCACTCCTGCACATCCCCAACTCCACCGTGGGCTTCTGGCAGTCTGGGCTTTGCCCTCCATCTTCTCACTAAACAATATGGTTGAAGTTACTACAAATGAAGGTTTCTCCCATGGAAGTTTTTCCCTTCACCCACTGCTCTGCACTCCCTGGAACACAGCTCCACCTCCAGCAGCTTCTCCCAGGGTCTATTCCAGAAGGCCAACACCCTTCCTGTTTAGCACCTGCTCAGGTACAACAGAAGCCCCAGTTTACATGGTAAGAGGACACATCTTTAAGGCCAGTAAGGAGCAGCTACCTAAATAGTATTACAAAATTAGGAGATGAACAGCAGTCTATAGGAAACCCCTAATATTCCTGACATAAGTGCAAGCACACAAAGACATGCTATAGGTATTTTGTAACTCTGTACAGTAACCATGACAGGAAAAGAAAATCTCACTTCTGTAACAACTGGTACTCCACCCTCTTGCCACAAATTTCCTAGCAACAAAGCTTCTTCTGCACAAGTGACACACAACACTCAGTATGCACTTAGCAGAATGTCAGACATTTCCTAACATAAGTGATTGCTTTATCTTAAAGCAATCAGCCACTCTATCATTCTAACATAGTTTTTTGTAAAAAAGGTTAGATTCTAAATATCAAGGTCAACAGAACAACACACCAGACCAGAAAAGCTATCAGCTAAGATCAGTCCACACAGTTTCCAATGCCCAGTGGGAAGAAGTCTGGAAAAGTTGATGTATCTTGGAGGAGTTGAAACATATCTCCCTCCTTGAAACTCCCAGAGATACAGCCAGTGCTAGGAAGGAGGTAAGGACCAATCTATTGCTTGTTGTAAATTAAACATTCAGTCAGCAATTGCTGGCCAGTAGGGGACACATTCAATTTTTGGACAGAACTATAGTCAGGTGCCTGTTACAGAAAGGTCATGCCCCCCCCCTACTTGTTACCATGCCCAAAATAGGCCTCTAAAAGGTAACAAGCATTACACAAACTGTGAAAGCCACAACAAAAGGGAAAATATTAAAAACACGACACCTAAAAAACCAGTAACAGCATCAGCATCTAGCAACATCTCCCATGGTTAAAGGTGAAGGTAGAAGGCCAATGACAGAGCAACACTCTCCCTTCTCTCTGAGGCTGGTCTCTCTTCTCACACCCTCACTAATGCACAGCTTCCAGAGATGATCAGTTTTACTGCTAAAACACTGGGAATATTCAGATGAAAATCCTAAGCCTGGTATTTTTTTAGGTCTCCCATTTCTACTACAACTTGCACAAGGGAATCTCACAGGAAAGGTGTGCTGAATCATTTTTATTTCACTACCAAAGTGCAGATAAAAACTGAACACAGAAGACTGCATTACAGAAGTGTCCCATCAAAATGATGGTCCAACAACAAAAAGTCTGCTACTGCTCTCATCTCCTAAACATAAACACCTTGGCTTGCCAGTTTCCAGATATCTGCCTTTAGATTTAAAAATTTTCTTTGCCTTAAAAAAAAAAAAATTAAACAGTTGGCCACTTACTGAGTTTTTCTGTATATCTTGCTCAACCTTAGAAGAAAACACTGAGAGGTCCCCATTGAGTATAACCTCAGCCAAGGAGTTCACCAAAGGAGCATAATGTATAATTAGAAAAACCTATTGAAAGAAGAGCAGAAAAAACATCAGACATATTTATACACACAGTTTGACAATTTCACTAGGTGAACATACTTTAGACCTTGTTAAGTGCTATCTTTAGTTTACACATAAGTGCAACTGCTAACAAAGAGCTCATTAAATCAACTTAAAACAAAGGAGTCAAGGGTATCTGACCTGTCTCTACCTTTGAAGCTACCTGGTTTTACTAATGCTTCATATTCTTTCCTCCTTCTGAGAAGTGTAAATTCTCTCTCTTCAACACCTTTGAAAGGGAAGTTGTGTGATATTCCAGCAAGGAACTCATTAAAACCATTCCAGAAATTTATTTTTGTTTTAGAAACAACAAACTGATTATGGTGCACAGCATCCCCAGACCTTCCTGTGTGCCAACAACTGGCCAGACTCCAGAAAGTTCTGTGCACACAATCACTGTGCAGTGATTCATGACTAAAGGCCATGCATGCACCAGGCTGAGCTGGATCAGAAGCAGCTTTTCTGGCTCTGAAATTGCAGCAAATCAGTGTCAGCTACACAATGGCTGCAGAACACAGGAGTAAGGACCATAATGTCTGGAGCACTGCAGCATTTGACCACAAGTGCTTTGGTGCTTTACCAGAGTTCTGTGCTTACACTGACTGCTCCATTTTGAGCCAAGGCTTACAAGTCTGGCCCAGCAAACAACTGGCTCCTGGACAGACCAGCTCAGGTGCAGCTGCAATAGTTTCTGTCAGCTTAAATCCATTCTCTTCACAGGAATATCAAGGCTGGATCCCTTATCAGTGGTTCTAGCTGTAAAATTCCCAAATAATTCCTAAGTCATTAAACCTAACCACTGCTTTGAAAATATTTAGCTAAATGTTCTCCACAGGTTTTCTGATTGAAGTCAGAAGCATTCCAGACCTCCAAAAGGGAAGTGATTATTAGCATGTAGTGGAGATCTACATAAAACTTTTAAGTCACAACACACTCCAAAAGTGCTTTGAACAACCTCCAGATCACTCGAGCTTCTGCCAATTCACCAAGTGTTGCTTGACTGTCCACAGGCCTGTTCTGGTTCAAGAACAGCACAGATTCCCTTTGTCACAGTGGCTGAGAAACCCCAGCACTGCATTTCCAGGGGCTGGCATCAGTCTCTCAGCACTTGTGTCTAATCTAAGAGTAGTGCCTAGAGCACATGCCAGGTGTGAGGAACAGGAACAGTCAGTGGGGTCTGGCAGATCTCATCCCAGCCAGACAAACTCCAGGTTAAAAGAGGTGGGAGATGATGTTTTTCTGCCAGTCACAGCAACAGTCACTTCATTTTCTATATCACATCCCATTCTGATACACAAAATTTGTTCTCAGTTCTTTATGAGTACTTCCATTTTCTTCTTTAAAGAGAATGAAGAACATAGATACAAATCCTGAAGTGATACCTTGTCCATACTTCCACTGAAAATGAAGACTTTAAAAGAGATCACAACTGCACGATGCAGATCCCTTTGCTTACAAGCAGCTGCTGCTCCCACAGTTTTATCTGTGGTAAATAACCCTCACACCACCACAACATTTTAGGTTTAAATTAAGGAGCATCAAATATTTTCCTAGGAAAAAAACTCCAATTCCATGCTTCTAGCAAAAAGATGAAATTATGGGCCAGATCACAACAAAATGATATGGGCCAATCACAACAAAACTAAAAAAAATTCTAAGATCAAAGAAAAAGTACAAATTCTATGAACGTAAGTCAAAACTATTTTCAGACAATGTAATTTAGGTAAATCAATCTCACAGTAATGCACTGAAGACTACAGGGACAACAGATGAATTTTCCCTACAAAACAAAAAAAATCTACTGTAGAATTCTTAATTTGAAAATTACTTCCAGAAGGAAAAGGAGGTGGAACTGATATGAGTAAGAAACAAGTACTTAATTACAGATTTAAGCTATAGGCACAATGAAATTCATATTGTGAATTGTGAGAAAGTGAGATTTTGGTAGTGGTGGTTTTTGGGGTTTGGGTTTTCAAAGAGGGAAATTCAAACCCGAGATTTTCCATAGCTTAAGCAGATTCAGAATGCAATACAGCATCTGGGTAAATTTCACCTGCCATTGTACCAAGCTCTGGCCCAGGATGTTGCACGTCTACTACACTTTATTTGTCAGGGTGTGCACACAACTTGAAATGCTCTGAAAGTTACACTGGCCAATGGGATCCACAGAAAAATGACATTAACTCAAATTGTCTGCCAAAAATGTTTTACTTTCTTTTTCTTAATGAAAACTGAAAGGTTAGAAATTTGCTTTGATGAATTTTCTTTTATGGTTTTGCCAATATGATGAAAACACACTATTTTATAATCACAAGAGTACTGCAAAATTTGTTCTGAAACAGGACAAATATTAAAATACTTACTTGAGAAAGAAGATAGAGAGAAACCTGGAGACTTATTTTGGGACGCTCTCCACCCTACAGAAAAAGTTATGAAAGTGCTTATTTGTACAAAGAATTTATAGGGCTTAATGTTTTATTTAAAATCAAACTTGTGTTGTTCCACATCCTGCTACAAAATATTCAGAAAGCATCAAGTTCTTTATCTTTAACATTCACTACTTGTAAACTATTTGAAATGGAGACTCTCTGAATAAGCATATCTCTCACTCTTCCTTGATTAAAAAATTGCAATTAATTACTGTCTCTCGTGGTCACTTCAGTAATTTGAACAGATGAGCATCTGAGAAGTACACTGGTTTTCACTATGCTACTCATTCAAAACCTCTTTTCAGTTAACATTCATTAAAGACTGCTAATTAGCTATTCAGATAGCATGAAATATTACCCACAACAGACAAATGAATGCAGGAACCTGTGCAGGTTTAAAAAATACTTTCTATTTCACAAAACCCAGTTTTAGTGAAACCACCACTTAATTTAAAGGCTATGCTTTAAATATAAATTCAGCTACATCACATTAAAACCCATCTTCTCTACAAATAGAAGAAATGAGTACCAAAACCTGAAGTCTGTATTTCTACATGGATAGATTTTTAGACCATGGCCAATTTGCTTTTTCTGTTTTTGCCAGAAGACAAGTTAGCTTATCAGAAAAGGAAATCACACATCTCCCAGTGTCACAGAAATTTAAACCCTGTTCCAAATTTGCAGTTCTTCTTGGTCTCCAGCACTGTGAGCTTTTAACCACCATGTCACCCAAAGCAGCATTTCTTTGGTGGGCTCTTGAATGCTGTGCTGTGCTCTTGAACTGCATTTCAGGCTATTTCCTCTACAGCCACCCTCTTTAAGCTATTTCATGTAAACCACACATCATATACCCAACTGCCCAAATCACTCTGCACACTGAAAGCAAGCAGCACCTTTGAGAATTCACTGTTTGCAGGTATTAGCTTACCTTGTCTTGATTTACTAAGGAATACACGTAGAGGGGAAGAAAGAGCCTATTAAGCAGGTGGTCTGTCAGCACATCATTTAAAAATTCACAGTTAATGATAAGGATATCATTAAGGTAATGCAAATGATCAAGATGTTCTGCTACCAGGTCACTCAGTTTGCCCCTATTTCTGTGCCTGAAAAGAGAGCAGAAATAAGAAATTACACATGATCAATTATGATAGGGAAAAAATAACATACATCCCTGCCACAGATCAGCTGGCTGAGGTAAACTGCCCAAAGATGTTTCAGTGAAGCCAGCTAATGCAACTGTTACACAGCTGCCTGTATTTTCTTTAGGATGCACACATCAAGTTTTTGCCCCAAGTTTTCACAAGAAAACTTGGTTTTTACAAAGCTTTGCTTCCATTGCCAGTCTTTTCACAAGCCAACTACAAAAATGAGAAGACTTCTTTTCCAAAAATGAAAGAAGAATTAGGTGTTGTATTGAACACCTACCTCTTCAGGAAAGCAAGAAACACACGGCCACTCTAAGGTGGCGATGGCAAGACAAACCAAGAACAACTTGAATCAACAAAGTATTTCTGTAGTTGACAGTGGAATATTACACTGTCATGTCAGGTCTGACAGCTCCCAATCAAGTTCATATTTCTAGTTTAAATCTTTTTCCTAGAACCTTTTCAGAAAGCTCTTCTAATGAGATGACACAAAGAAAAAAGGATGTTAGAAAGACAAAGTTTCTAAGATTGAGAAGCACAAAATGCCTGTTGTTTCTTCTGGATAACTGCTATTTTTAGCAGAACAAAACAAAGACAAAGAAAAAGCTTGGTGCAAACACTAATTTACTTGTAGGGATAGCAGCACAGATCAGGCACACAGCACTGTTTCCTTGAAGAATCACTAAAAAACTTTAAAGAGTGAAAAGTCTGAACTGCCTACATGGGAACATATCTAGAAACTAACTTAACTGGACTACTACAGACAAAATGAGCACACCATTGACATCTGGGCAAAGCATTTGCATTCAAGAGGCAGCACTGTAAAAGCTTACTCTTCATCAGTCTGCACACAGTTATCCAGCTCTATCACGTGGCTGCCAATAAACCAGACGAGGTTGGAGAAATAAGGAACTGCAGTTTTATCTCGAATGTAATGCAGCATAGGCTGGTTGTCCACTGAAGAGAAATCATTAAAAAGAAAAATCAGTTGCCAATATTTTTTATTGCTTTTTAAGAAATATAATAAAATATCTTTTGAATTTGATTACATGCTAGTTTTCCATATGAGTATACACCTGACACAATCTTAGGCATGAAATGGAAATCTACAAAAATGCCACATCAATTCTTATCTGGCTTGAATGAGCCTAATGTTGATATATTTACAGATGTCTGAAAAGAAACAAATCTAGTGGAATTCAGAAAGGTTCTTTTAGCACATTATTTATTAAAAAGAAGAGAGAAGCGCAAGAATAAAGCAGTAATGCTGAGAGTCAAGCTAGTTAGACTTACATGACACTGCATTAAGGAACACAGGAATCATCAGTGAAGGAAGGGCAAAAGAAACAGACAACAGTTAACAGGATTAGGAACTGGGATAGTGACATCCTCTAAAAGGGTTTAAAATGCTAAAGCACAAAGCATCTAAACTAAAACATACGGGGTAGCAGTTAGAGCAGAATATATGCAAACAGGTAGTCAGAAAATTATCAAACCTGAACATCTGAGCTCTGCCATTAAACTCTAACCATTATATCACTACAGCATTCAATGAAAATTCTAGAAAAGTAATTTTTAAAATAAAAATACTTAGTTGCAAAAATATATCACAAATAGGATATGAAGCCTGTAATCTACTTTTTTTTTTTTGAGTTCATATTTGCACTTAAACAGTTCCTTCAAGTAGAAGTACCAAGTGCTCATTTCTCAGACAAGAAAAAGTGTTGCAGCCAACACTGTAAAGATCCTATTTGCTATGCAGGCTATCCAGTCATTTGCAAAGCAAACAGCTCATTGTTTTACAAGAGACCTCATATGCTTCTATGAAGACTGTCAAACCACTTCTTCTCTTAACTGACAGAAAGTTGTGGAAATTCAACATGTAATTTAACTTAAAATGGACTAAAGAACGAGAAATCCTGCATGAACATATTGCATAATACATATTACCTTACAGCATGCTGATTTCAGAGGTAGAAGTTCAGAATAAACAATTTTTTTAAAGAGAACACTGTGAACAGTTCATTAAAAATCTTAAATATCCCAAGATAAATTTAGGGGGAAGTGACTTTTGGACATTGGGTTTTAGAGAACACATTCTCAAAGCAGTGCTAACTTCAAAGTTCAGCCAGGTTTCTGATGTTCCTGCTGAGTTTTGAAGATCTCCAACAATAGAGATGCCTCAGTTTCTCTGGAAAAATCATTGCAGGGCTCAGCTACTCTCACAGTGAAGCTTTAGGTTTTTTCCTCACGTCCTACTGGAATGCCCAGCAGAGGAGTTTGAGGCTGCAGCCTCCTGGCCTTCACTGAGCACCTCTGGGAATGGTCCAGCTCCTCTTGAGACTGGAGTGACTGCAGCACCTACCAGTTCTACAGTCATTTTAATGCACTTCCAATCCAAAAGGGAGCGATGGTAGTTAGTGCTTCATACACCAGAAAGCTCAATTTTGTGAGTAAAAGATAATTTGTATTCTTAAAACATACTGGTTTTGGGGTTTTGTTTGTTTACTTTTTAAATATGGTCACATTCTGACCTCTCTTGGAAAGGAAGCTAAAGTTCCTTGTGTATGCCTGACTTTTGGGGTTTTTTTTAAACCAGTTTCATTGGTGAGAAAATACTATTTACAAGTACCTATTGCAGGTTTGGGATAGTTGTCACAAAAGTAAAAAATGTGTATCTGAAACTTGTCAACATGCTAAGCTTTTCAGTCTCACAAAACAGACAGAAAACCCTCACAAATAAATAAGTGAAAATCAAACTACAATGAAACCAGATTTGCACACATACCTTTTTTAATATATAAAAAGCATACCTTTGTAGACATTTAAGGTTATAGTCCTAACAGCAATCCTGACCATGCTTTCGGGGTGGTTAAAAAATTTAATAGCTTCGGTGTACAAAGCAAAGTCATTAGTGTGCTGCAACAAGAGGAAAGAAAATATTTATTCATTAAACATGTACAGAATATGGTTGGGATTCTGTATAAATTTTGTTTTCCCTATATTAACTTGGTATCTTTACCTTCTACTTAAGTAATCAAAATGATTTTACAATGCACATTCAGCTGCATGTGTAGCTCGGCATTCAAATGAGCTGCTTTAAGCACCAGAGCTTCCCAGAATAACTGCACACACAGCCAGTGCTTCCATGCCCTCTTCTGGCAGAAAGCAGAGTGCAGAGGAAAAACCCAGCTCAACTTTGCCCTTTCAATCAGCTTTTTGGACTTTGACTAAACCTCTTAGAACCAAGTGATGCAATAGAAAAGATCCTGTTTATGAAAGCACAAGAGAAGAAAGCATAAGTAAGTTGAATTCTCAAGGAAGCAGACTTTAAAACTACTGAAATGAGCCAATATAACACTAACTTCCAGATTTTTAGTTTACTATAGTTGTAAGAGGACAAAGCCATGCTTGTGCAGAGATTCTCACAAACAAATTCACAACCACTGGCATGGCCATTTCAAAAATAAATGCAAGACATTATGAGACAAGAGACTAAACAAAGTATGTGCCACACTCCTATCAATTTCTAATTCAAGTCCTCATCATTATACTGCAACTTTCTTTACTTACCTCATTATAAAAGAAATGTACAGTATGATTATTGAGTTTCAGGGAAAGCGTTTTCAAAAACGATATGTAATATGCCATGATCTCTTCATCAGAAAAGTCAAATTTGTGGACAATAATAGAATTCACATGGTTATTAGAGAGCAGGTAGTCTGAAAAAAAAAAGTATTTACACAGGTTTAACAAAAAAAAAAAAATCACAGTGATAACAGGCTGTATTTAAAGTGCCAGCTAGAAAACAACAATCTGATGCTTGAAGATCACAATTTTGAGCCAAACAAGTGATGCCTTTGAGCATTAATATAAAGGATCTGCTCCCCACAAAGGTCTTTGCTCTCAAGAACAAGACAACTGAGAATATACTTCATCTTCCTCAATTCAGGTAAACTCCACAGCTAGTAACACTAAACTCTTTTCCTTCCCAAGTCCCAACTGGCAAAGGCTTGATGATGACTTTCATAACAGTTGTGGAATACTTCAAATTACATAGAGGATGGAGAATTAATAATTTGCCAAAAACTTTGAAGGAACCTCCTGTGGCTGACTGCCAGCACCAATGATGTCAGAACAGTTACAGTACAAATTACACACCAGAGTTTCACCACATGACCTGTGGCAGCAAGTGAACATTTCAGATCACAAGTAATTTGACTTAAGGAATCCCCTGGAACGTGCTAAATGCTTGTTGTACCAAAAAACTACTTTTGCACCACGGAAAATTTACATTCAAAGGTATCGTGGAATCAGTTTACACCACATTTTTGGTAGTGTTCAATTTAAAAGACTGTCAGTAATTCATAGTTCTGTGCAGGGGTACTCGGACTAAATTTCATTGAATGAAAGGGAATCCAATCAAATCTAGATCACTTCATCCTAAGCAGTTTGGAAGTGTGTCCTTACACAGGGATGTTTCATGGCTGATGTTCTCAAAAAGGATGTTCAGAGTCTGCAGCAGCTGCACACACACATAACGACCTGACTTCTGACGCAGGATGTTCAGGAAGAACTCAAACATATTCTTCTCCAAGAAAAAGCTGAAAGAAAATCAAGATGTCGTTAAGTCACATGTTGTAAGTAACATGAACATAATTTGGCTAGGAGCAGGGATAATTCAAGGCAACTTGGACAAACAGCATGTTTTGCTTTTATGAAGAATTACTTTGCAAAGTTGCACGTGCATAACAAAAGAATATCTTTCAAAACCCTTAAATACTAAACAAGAGGGCTTAAAATTGAAATTATGCAGAAAAAAAGGTATCAAGTATTCAGGGCTTTTCTTAGTGTATTTTTAGGACATTCAATTTATCAGGCAGCTCTAAATACCACAGCTAGAATTTTTGATATCTTAGGTAAATTGAAGCAATGTGATATTAGATGTACTGAGTAAATCTGGACCCTAAAATAGGTTAGAGTTCATATTTATATCAAAAGAATGGAGAGTTAAACAAAAGCAGTACTTGAAAGGGGCTCTGGAATCCAAACACTTGGAAGCAGCAAATTCCTGTATGACATGAATATGAACCTGCTCACACATCTACTACAGGAAAAATTTCTTTACATACAGTCATGAAATGCAGTCTTGGAGGAGCTCACAGTAACAGGAACAGAACTCCTTGGGGGAGTTAACAGGAACAGAACTCTGTACAACTCCAAGCATTCTTCAAGCACAAAAGCAGAGTCCCAGAGAGAAGGGGCTCAGGATACTCACTCAAACACTGAGCTGTCATTCTGATCCCCCCAGATCAGGATCTCCGTTATGGAACGGATGGTCTCCACCAGCAGGTTGCGGTTGTGATCCGTCACAATCGTGTTCTTACTCAAAATATGGTACATGTACCTCAAAGGGAAGAGAAGCACAAGTGATGAGCTGTCCTGCCACTCCCACAGGCACCATGTTTGTCCTTCACCACTGCACCAACACAGACACACACATCTGCACACACCAGGTCTAACAGTTGGCCAACTTTTAAATCCTAAAATTTCCTTCTAATACTGATGCAGAGAGAAAAGTAATTGTTAAACAGTGACAAAGGGAACAAATATCCCCCAGCCAGGTGAGTTATGGGTGCTAATGCAAATGTTAACATAGAACCAGAAACTCTGCAACTGGTCCCAAGGTGCTTCTTCTGTGAATTCCTTTGGAATATGTTGAAGTCAAAGGAGTGATGAACAACAGCAATAGAAAGAGAAGAAGCAGGTAAGCATGCAGCAGCTGATACAGAAAAGTGGCAGTGAGGTCTAACCCTTCTCTTGAGTGCCACGAGCTCAATCCCTTCTCCTGCCAGCAGAGCCCCTCGCTGACTCACATCTACTCTGATGTTCAGTATCAGGACTCTCAAAGACCATTCATTCACCTTGGCAAAACTTCACCAGGTCTCTGGTCCTCTGAGCACTCCCAGAAATCAGTATTGCCCAGAAACACTGATTGGAAAAGGGGTTAATTCCAGCTTTATCATTTCAGAAGGCAAGAGTTTAAGACTGCCTAGTGAAGCTTTAAAAAGGGTATGTCTATATCACAGGTGACAGGAAGCTATAGGGAATGCAAGCCATTCAGGTTTGAAGTCTCAGAATGTTACTCTTCAAAGAAGCAAGTTTTTGCCCAAGTTGTTACATCAAATTCTAATAAAAGCAAAAAATCACCACTGCTTCTCTCCCTCTTTTTTTTTTCTTTTATATAGTGATTAAAAAAAGGGTAAATATAAGAAAGGTGCACAGTTTTGAAAATAAATTAAAAAACATGAGGGAAATTCCGTGTCATTTTTGAACTGCACAAGTTTGGATTTCTAAACACAGTTCCTATATTATTATGTTATGATTGTACTGAAAACCAGGAGTAACACCTCAGCATTTCTGTGCAAATACTCACAAGCGTTTGGAAAGGATGACTGATTTCCCATATTATTAATCTTGCCATGAATAGTGGAGTTAATCAAACTTCCAGGATCTAATTCTGTGAAAACAGCCTGAGTCCTGACCCTGGGGCAGCCTTCATTATTGTTTTGGATTCCATGAGAGTTTGTTCAGTGATTCAGACTAAAATTTTAGGAATCTCATTAATAGAATTTTGCCAAGCTTTTGTAAGGTTCCAAAAAACACAGTGCATTTCTAAAAATAAATTTCGGGGTGTCTGGTTTATGGCTTAAAGTAAGATGTTTAGGTCAAAAAACAGACTTGAAATTATGTTCCAAAACCAGGATTCCCATCAATTTTATCAACACTAAAAAACTGAATCATTGCACTGGGCAAGCATGCAGCCAGAGACTAAAATGCCATTTAACTGAATACTCATGTGAGGCTGCTCCAAATATTTATCAGACTTCCAAAGACAAGACAAGATATTACCCAGTTTCAGAACCTTTTGCTTGAACTCAAGAAATCTCTCACAAACACACAAGAACTTTGATCGTATTTACAATTTATTCAAAATCTGTCAAATTTGGTTTTGGGAGCCTTCAACCACTGAGCTGCCAGAGCTGGGCAGAGTTTCACAGGATCTGCAGCAGAAAAGTCTGTCCCCACAAGCCATGCAGGGAACAGGTGCTGTTTCAGAGAAGCTGAGGGTGAAACACTCTGTGCTCACTGCTCTGGATATCACTTCACCCTCAACCAACAATTGTGCTGTGTTGAGTATTGCCCAAGGACACAGAGGTAAACAGCCCTCGGGAGTCCACAGCTTTCACAAACCTGAAACCACGCTCCCTTCACTCACTCCCCTAATCAGCAAAGCCTGCACTGCATTCCCAAAGCCATGACCATATCATAGATATCACCAGCCAGCAAAAAGGGAATAGGTGGCAGAGGGGGGAGAGGTGGAGGAGGATTTGTCTTTTCTTTATCTTTCTCTTCAGTAAAAAAAAAAAAAATTCTCTCCCTCTTCATAGTGTTTTCTTTCCCCCCTCCTAAATCAACACTCATTTTCAAACCCAAACCAGTCACTGATCACACTGAAACCACTCTAGGAAAAGCTGATTCTCAGCTGTGTCCTACAGTCACAAGTGCCTGGTCACGTGCTGTACCAGAACAGTCATTGAACAGCAAAGAGCACCTGGAAATCCTCTTGCACTAATCTGAGATCCCAGCTCAAGGTTCCTTCTGTGCACACTGACAGTGGGACGGCTCACAGTGAAGATGTGAGAATTCCTGGGGTTTCTAAATCAGCACACAAGCCCTGGAAAAGCTTCCCATGAGGGCACTTTGTGCATCATCAGGACAGTGAACAAAAGACAAAGCACAAACTCCGTCCCTGCTCTGAGGATGCAGCAGTTAATGGAACAGAGAAGAGATGGCAATTAGATCACTCCACACTCATTTTAACAACTTCCTGAAACAGTTAGTAATTAATACTATATTACTTCACATATTTTAGACTATTAATTTGAAGTCACATAGAAATTACTGCATCTGTGAACATGTATTTCTCATTAACAAGTTATATTATACAAATTTGGGATTAAAGTTTACTCCAGCAGTACGATTTTGGGTATGGGATGTGGTGGGAAGAATGACAAGCTATTATTTCATTTTGGGAGCCTATGGAATGTAAAGCATTACAAACACAAAAAGCAAGAAGCATTTAATAATCAGAAATACATTACCCCAAAATTTATTTATTTAGTAGAAGCATTACTGCAAATTCCTTATTCTGCTAAGGTACTGACGCACTTAGAGGAAACTTGGGCTTCACCTTCAAGCTATTCCTTTGTATTTCATTTTTTATTTATCCTGTTTGCTTGAAAATGTACAAGGAAACATACACATACTTGCTTCTTTTTACAGACATGTGAAATACCATATTATGAGAACATGAAGCATCACACAAACCCAGTATCTTTGTATTTAGGTAAGTCTTTAAAGGCTGTCTCTAAATGCTGATTACAGAGGGATCAGGTTTGTGCTTCAAAACACAAAACTATCAAAGAGGAGACTTTTGTCTTCTCTATATCTGGAGACTGGGTTTAAACAAAAATACATCATGCAGGAAGTGCCAAAGCACTCAACACCATCAGAACCGGTGGGAGATGTCAGCAACTCAACAAACCCAATAAAATTCTGAACATTTTTCTGGTTAGAACCCATGCTCAAAGTGGCAACATAGTAACTGGTGAATATTGTAAGTGCATATTAATGACTTTCCTACTCAATACTTACAAAAATACACTGGAACAGGTAAGAGTTTAAGAAGTCAAGCACTCAAATTTTAAAAGCCCAGACCTGCCCATAGCAGGCTTGCTCCTTCACTGCCTGTCACCAGGTAATTGCATGTTGTTCCCACACAGGACACCTGGTGCACAGCACAGACAGCGCCTCAGGAAATGAATCACCCACAGAAAAGGACTTCAAGCTCACCTTCATGGCCACTGCATCTGACCAAGGCATGGGAAATGCTCAGCACCCAATTTTAGTGGCATGGAACCTTTGTGCAATCACAACACAATTAAAATACCGAGTGCAGAAGCAGCCATGGGAAATGAGCTTGACAGTAGCAACAGGGCTGTGTAAAATACCACAGAAAAGCAGGGGCAAAGTCTGACTTAGAAACAAAGACACACAAAAAGATCAAGTTCTCTGAGAAGTACCTAGGCAGCGAGTAGCACTGTGTCATCCTCCTCTAGATGGCATTTCAGAAGTTAGATTAAATTTTAACTGTTTTCCCTAGATCAAGAGACTGTATAAAAGCACCCAATGCAAAGAGTGTCACAATTTTCCTTCAGCCAATCCACTCTCTGGTGTGTTTGCAGGAAGACTGAACAGCAAAATTTCAAAGCAAACCTCAAACAAACTGCATTAAAGCTGATGGGAAAGATCCAGCACTCACTGACCAAAAGCAGTAATGCTGCTGGCATCACTAAGCATGTGGATTGTTTACAATTTAGACTAAACTCTGCCTTATGCATGTTAAAAATCAAAAATGTTCCCACAAGGCTAGCCCAGACTGATTTCACCCCTGTAACACAGCACAATGTACCTTTTGCACACTGAGCTAACCTGTAATGGCAAGGCAGGTGTGTTGTATACAGCTCCTTCATATGGAACACAAAATGGGACTTTGATGAGTTGAAAAGATAGAAGGTAAACAGCTTATCAAGTGTGCTTACTGAGACTTTCTTTCTTTCTTGACCCCAAAACAAGGGCTCTCTCACATTTTTCATTCTGTTATTTGACCCACTCCAATACTTGGAAAAGACCTCAATTTCACCTCTCCTGTTGGCATCCAGCTAGAAGCTGAAATTCACACAGTTTGGATAAACAAGCACTTAAAACATACATAGTATAAACAGATCAAAGTCTTCTCTGTCCTTTAGATATGACCATTTCAGATTCATAATTATAGAAATCACATGCAAAAAAGCAAACAGACCAAAGCTTGTACTTCAGTAGATAAATATATATTTCAGCTCTCTAATAACAAGCCACAAACATTTACAGCCCAATTCCCCATTGCTACAAACGAGGTAGGGTGCTATTTTTCTATTCTCTGTGGCCCCAACAGATCATATGGACACATTTTTCTGACATGTGAAAGTAAGTCTCAAGTCTCGCTCTTTTTTCCCCCCTAAACTTAAATTCAGTTTTTTTAAATTTCATCACGCACCAGCACTCTTGCTCTATCTTCACATCAAACATCAAAGTCAGGAAGAGCTAAAGCTCCACTAATGCTGAGCAGTACACAAAAACTGGATGTTCAACAGAAGATTCCTATGTTTACATCCGAACATGACTTTTCTCCTTTATCCTGTAAAACCAGACTACACAGGCGTGCTAGTCTGACCTACAATACTTTCAAAATTATTTCTGCAATGCTACTGCCTCATTAGTTTTGTATTCATGGGCTTGAGTTCCGTGTCTTTGGTAAAACGCATTGCATTGCAGATAGTCTTGCTCATTTTGAACATTTTTCCAGTTTAGAGACAAGGACCAGAATCCATAAATCATCTTGATAAAACAACTGCAAGATCCAAATCCCGTACAGGGCATCCCGCCCGTTACTGTCAGAACCCATTCATGTCCTCCTTGCAAGATGACTGAAAACTACAAAGCACTTTTTCTCAATGAGCTACATAGTCACAGTGATTTCATTTAGAAAATGCTTCATGTCTCAATGACCTCCTTTTCTCGTTCAGTACAAAGAGAAGCTATCAAGGTGGTTCTCATTTTTCTTGCAAGAGCGGAACACTTAAAATGGAACAGGGAAATTAAATTTTTTATCCCTTGCCACCCTTCCAACTCTCCAGCGGCGGAGCTGGAAGAAAACTATTCCACCTTCTACGGGCAGCAGTAACACACGGCTGTGGGGCTGCAGAACGCACTACAGCTCTCTAGCTCAGAGCTTTCCTTCTGCAGCAGCGGCTGCGTCCCGCAGCGCCGGGCACACCCGGCCCGCCGTGACTCACGGCTGCCATGGACCTCCCCTCGCACCGGGAGCTGCACTGCCCACACCCCGGCTCCAGCCCCGCGCCTCAGCCGCCAGCACGAAACAAACAAAGTTCTCCCTCTCAAGGAATGCGGTATTTCTTGTATTTATCACGCCTTGCACTCTACCCCACCGAAGACTCTGTGGCATTGCTAAAAACAAAACAAACACGCATGGCAGCCGGAGTGTGACATTACATGACGAACTACGTCTGCCCTGAGGACTTTCTGGGACGGATGGGCCGGTTTCCGTGAGGCGGACACCAGACCTCAGAGCCTCCGCCAACCGGGGACTGCTCCGGGCGCTTTGCCCTCAGGGGAGCTGCGGCAAAACGCCCCGGCGAGGGCAGCGAGCGCCGGCGGAGCGCCGTCCGCCGAGCCGCCCTCTCCTCTCCCGGCCCCGCAGCCGGCTCCGAGGGAAACCTGTCCCGAGCAGCTCTGCGGACGGAGCCCGGCCACAACCGCCCCCTCCGAGCCCCCTCCCGGCCCCGCCACCCTCCGCCCTCACCGCCGCCCCGAGCCCGCGGCCGCCCCTCGCTCACTTGAGGTGGTCCAAGGAGTGGATGCTGCGGGAGGCCTTCCCGTGCCCGCCGCCCACCCAGCTGCGGGAGCGGCCGAACATGCTGGCGGCGGAAGGCTGCTCCGGCCCGCGGGCCCTACGGCCTCATAGCCCCGCGGGGCGAGCGGGCGACCGGCGGGCGGGGACCGGCCCGGAGCCTCGGCGGCGGAACCGGCGCGCAAAGCGCATGCGCGGCCAGGGCACGCCGGAAATCGCCGGCCCGGCCCCGCCCCCGGCCCGCGGACTGCGAGTCCCAGGCAGCACCGCGGGGGGCGGGACCAAGCCCTCACACGGGCAGGGCGGGGCGGGGCCTGCGCCGGGCGCGCTCTGGGGCCGGCTTGCTTAGAACAACATAAGAGAGTAAAAGGCACCCGAACCAGAAAAAAAACCCAAAACACATTAAGCGTCTAACGAGTACATCCTAAATGTGTTGTAATTTGAGGTAAAATTTGGCCCCTGCCTGACAGTCCTTGTTCGGCTTCCATAGCCCAAACGAAGCTGTTCTGTGGGGTCACTCCTGTGCTGCAAGACGCAGCGTCAGAAATACAGCTGCTGGAATTTCCCTTGCTGAGATTCTTCCAGTAAGGATTTTAAATCGGCCTAAAAATTGAGGAAGAACAAAGAGAAGGGGACTCTTGACTGTCTTGATCTAGTTTTGGATTTTAAATTTTTTTTTTTTGCTTTAGCCAGAGAAATAAACTAAATCTATGTAAAAGCTGAAGAGTTTGTCAGGCAGTGTCAAAAATGGACCGAGTTTAAAATCCCGCCTTCGGTTATATTTTGGTATAGGTAAAGCCTTGGTCAGCAAAGAAGCACCTGCACCGCAGCCGAGAGGGGCAGGAGGGCCTCGGTCACAGCAGAGGTCGTGAAACAACTTCCAGGGGCGAAGGCACAGCCCCAACCTGCCCACGCTGCCCCGCTCCGCAGGCTGCGGGCTGCGGCAGAGCTCGGCAGGCAGGAGTGCGCAGCCGAGGGTCGCGCAAGCGGCCCCTGTCCCCTGCAGCCCCCGTGCAGCCTCAGCGGGACCCCAGTGCCGCCAACGCGGCGGTGGCGGCGGCGCCCGTCACGGCCGCCCCGCGCCAGCAGCAGCGCGGCGCTGGTAAACAACGGCGGCGTGCGGCGGGGCAGGCGCGGGGCGGGGAACGAGGGGCGGGCGGGCAGCACGGTCCTGCCGCGCAGGCCGGGTTCGCTGGCAGGTGCTCCGAGCCCAGCTCCCAACGCGCCTGCGGGCTCCTTCCGCAAAGTTTGCGGGCGGCAGGAGGAGGAGGAGGGAGCCGCGGCGGGACTGCAGTAGCCGGGCTGGACATGCCGCTGAGCAGCCTCCTGCCAGCGGCGGGGCTGCGGCAGCGCCGCTGAACCCGCGCTGGCCGCTCGCCCGCCCGCCGGGCGCCTCTTCCTCCGGGGACTGAAGGGACCGAGCCGGCCGCTCCGCGCCCCTGCGGGGCTCGCCTCTTCCCGGAGTCCGGATCCGGCTTCTCAGAGATTCTGCCCTTTGCTGCCACCGGGGCTGCGGCGTACAGTCCTGCCCCGCTCCCAGCTCCGCCGCGGCCGTCCGCCTCCCCGCGCCGGCCGGGCGGGTCGGCTGCCCCCGCAGCCCCCACGGCTGCATGACCGCCGCGGTCTCCGCTCGTCTGGATTCGGTGGAGTCCTGGGCCTTCCATGCGCTGCTGGTGCTGCCCTATATGTTTTACGTGGGCTTGTTCTTTGTCAATGTGCTGATCCTGTACTATGCCTTCCTGATGGAGTACATCGTCCTCAATGTGGGCATCGTTTTCCTGCCCGAGGATATGGACCAGGCTCTGGTGGATCTGGGGATGCTTTCCGACCCTGGCTCCGTGCTCTACGAGACGGACAGCGAGCTGGATGTGTTTGACGGGTACTTGGAGTGACGCCCCAGGGCGCTCCAAAGCGACTGAGCTCCGCCGCCGCCTGGCCCGGGGCAGGGGCCCGGCGTGCCCGCATGGCCTCAGCTCGGGGACCGCTGCGGCCCCGCTGCGCGATCCCGTCGCGGCTCCTTCTGCGCAACATCTTCCCGTCCAAATGGCACCCGCCCCGCCGGTGCAGGGGCCAGAGGGGCGGCCGGGACCCGCTGCCGCCGGGCAGGCCCGTGGAGAGGCAGAGGGCTCGCCAGGGAAGTAAGTAATTCCTCAGTGTCCGGCCGGGCACAGCGGGCACGGCGCCGGGGACACGCTCCGCCGCAGCTCCCGGCACGGGCGAGCGCTGCGGGCAAAGGGCCGGGGCCGCCCCCGCCGCTTCCCTGCCCCGCAGCGCCCGGGGACAGCGGGGACAGCGACCCTGTCCCCCGGGACTCCCCCGAGCCACTGCGGCTGTGCATGGGGGGCTGCCTGTACTGCCGGGCAGCAACTTTGCTGATCCGGTCCTGAAAGCAGCCCTGAATCGAAACGAGCATCCCGGTTAACATTTATTACAATTCGGAGACCTTCCTCGAGCCAGAAATACATCTTAATTTGCTGCCCTTTAAAACCACTCTCTTGGATAGTGACAAACTACCCAGCTCACCATTTTAATTGTAGCACGAGGGTTTTGCTTGATCAGGTTTTTTTTGGTAGTTTTGAGTGATTCTAAAAGTCTGGAAATGTAAGGATTTAGCATTTTAAAACACTGAAATGCATTTGGGAAGAAAAATTACTATTTCTAGCTAGGACTTTCTGTGCCAAATGTATGTTAATGAAAACATTCACAGTTTAAATTAAAATGTGTTAGCAAATCTGCCAGCAGATTTTTTTAGCAAAATATTGTCTGTAAATCTGAAAACCAGTTCAGGATATATTTATTTTTCTGTTTGAAATAATGGAAATAGGAAATTCAGTTATAAGGTTACAAGTATGAATTCAGTGACCACACTACAGTTAATATCAAACTATTTTAACCAGTCTTCTAATTTAACAAACCCAAACAAACCTTTCCTGTAGTTCTGTCCTTCACATAGGTTAAAATTATCTCCTGAATATTTCTAGTCAGATTATTTTTAAAGAATTAGCTGATTTTGGTCAGTAATTTAGAAGGAAAAACTGGACATTTTTGGTGTTGGAGTAACATTGATTGCACAAACACAGCTGAACAAGGCTTGGCCCAAGGCATGTGGGAGCCTAACAAGGGAGTGAACAGATTTTGTTGCTACTGAAGAAATCTCACTGCATATAGTCACTGCAAATGGAAGTGTCTATGCCTACATTTGGTGGTCCATCCCAAGCAACTGGGTGAGAGTCCCTTCTGCTAGAATAGAATGTGTGGAGCAGCACAATCCTCCTTACAAAACACCATTGACTACTTTTGTGGTTGTCTCCTTCTTCAGCTGGACAAATAACACACATGATCTGCATTCCAGGAAAGAATTTCCTAAAAATTGATGGTAATTCAAGTAAAATCTTTGGTGCTAAAAATTGTATCCATTTTCTTCCTCAAAATACCTTTCCCTAAACTCCAAATCTTAGTGCTCCAATGCTATTTAGTAGACGGATTAAAAATACTTTTTTTAAATAACTTTTTTTTTTCTGTCTAGAATTTGTTTTGATGAGTTGTGTCTAGTTTTCAGGAAGACCCAATGAGAGCATCAGACACAACTTTCCTCAGTGGGAAAAAAAAATTTCCTACTATACAAATATCATTTGTTATGAGCACATTCAGTTCCATGGAGATTATTTGGCTTCTTAAAATTTTCTTTCTTATTAATAAGATAAGCAGCTCTGGAAACTTCTTGATATTCCAACTATAAACCCCTCCATATGCAGAAACCAAGATACAGAGGTTTTCTGAAAGCTCAGAAGTAAGACTCCATTTTTACCCACCAGGAGCTCATGGAGCTCTGCACAGCTTCACCCTTGACCTTTCATCTTTTGGAAGCTGTCAAGGTCGATGGTGGTTTCCATGGAGAATCAAATCACAAATCCCAAAAGTTTGATCAATTCTTAGGCAGCAAAAAAAATTACTGTGTTTCATCTATTTATATATTTAATTATACTTACAGACATAGCAACCAGGCTACAAATTGCATAATTATTTAGCTACCAGGCAAAGCCACAGTGTTACCACCATGATGAGGGATTTGAGTTCATATCCTCTTACAGGTTTCTTCACTGTTCTGTGCCATTCCTCCCCAGCAGTTCTGTAGCAGCAAAGCAGGCAGAAGAGGGCCCTAATTTGGAGCTGTGTTTTCTGCTTTGGGAGCAGCACTAAGGCCCTGAAAGGGAAGATTTAGATTCTTGTGGTGCCTTGCCTGCAGTGACCCAGTGCTGTGTGAGTGTTAACCCCTGCCCTCCTGGCCTGGGGAGGTTTCCCTTGCACCCAGAAGTGCTGAGGATTCACAAGACACTGCAGGAAGAATGGGTCTGTTTTGCCAGCAGTGATGAAGAATATGTAGGCCTACTCTTTGCATTAAAGAGCAGGGTTCTTCATGTGACTCACCAGTGATTTCTGAGAGCAGGCAGAGAGCTGTGATTATCCTGAGCTGAAACCTTGCAGCGTCCTCTGTGCCTCACACCCTGCGTGAGTGACGTGTGACGGGAAAACAGAGGGGGCAAATCCCAGGAGGCCCTTCTGCAGTGTGAGGAAAGGCTGATTTAGATGTAAAAATAAAAGAACTCATGGATCAGAACAGCTCTGTGCTCTCAGGCAGCAAACCCCTCACTTGAATAAACTCAGTAGAAGCGAAATGATGTTCAAGTTCCTGAGCAAAACCGGTGGCAGAGATTGAAGGCAGACATAAGTAAGCAGCTGAAAAATGTTTCCTGGCTTATTCAAATGAAGAAATTAATCTGTGTAAACTGAACAGAATTGAGCTTGTTTGTGTCATCTGCTGTTTTTGTGTGAGTGTTTCAGGTTAATTACGATATATTTGAAGACCCCTGGAATAAGGTCACATGACTATTCTCATACTTTCAGAAAATCAGATGTGACTCATCACAAAGTACTCCTATCAGAAAGAAAATGGGCAAAAGTGATCAATAATGAGAACTGAATAAGAAGACTGAGTTTATGTAATCTTGCAGTACATGCTTTACCTGTATTTTTTCATAAGATGAATTATGATGAATATCTTCAGTGAGCAGAATCCAGCTCTCAAAACCTGTGACTCAGCACTTCCAATGAATGCCAGTATCTAAATTCTGAATCAAAAAACCCCAACATAGCTTAACTCT